AATGAAGCAACCAGAATTACAAATGCTTCTGCTACATTGATTGATCATCTCTTAACTAATAACTCAAACGTAAAGAGTTATGGAGTACTTCATAATGGAATGAGTGACCATTCTATTAGTTTTTTAATTTGGAATGCCAATGTTTCATCACACCCCAGATTTATTAACTTTAGAAGTTGCAGCAAACTTAATGGTAATGAGTTTAGAAATGATATTCGCAACCAGAAATGGGAGTATATAAATCAGTGCAATTCAATTGATGAAGCTGTTGAATTATGGCAAAATCGGTTGTTACAAGTTGTTGACAAACACATGCCATATCGTTCAAAAAGAATAAGTACTAGGGGCTCTCCGTGGATGAATGCAGGCATTTATAAACTCATGAAAAAGCGTGACAAACTGAAACGGAGAGCGTGTAAACTTAAAGATGAAAAACTCATGTGTGAATATAGAGTACTACGTAATAAAGTTACTACTGATGTAAGACAAGCAAAGAGAAAATACTACTCTGATAAATTTTCACTTTCTAGTGCTAATCCAAAACAGACTTGGAAGACATTAAAATCTATCATTCCAAATAAGAAACGTGACACGCCAATAGTTGCGCTTAATTCAGAAAGTAATGTTGATACTGCTAATCTTTTTTAATACCTTCTTTGCTGAAGTAGGAAGTAATTTAGCAAAAGAAATTCCTGATACGCCTCTCCCTATAGAAAACAATATACCATTAATCAAGAGTTTTGAGTTTACCCTTGTAACCGAAAATGATGTGTTGGGAGTTATAAACAAATTGAAAAATACTAAATCTGTAGGTGTAGATAAAATATCAGTTTTTGTTTTAAAAGCATGTGCTACCGAGATTTCACAGAGTATTGCTAACCTGATCAACCGCTCTTTGTTGAGCGGTAAATTTCCTCAACAATGGAAAAGGTCCAAGATTATCCCAATTCACAAAAGTGGCGATAAGAGCTCTCCTTCAAATTATCGGCCCATCTCGATTTTGCCCTGCGTATCTAAAATACTGGAACGGGTTGTCCAAAGACAAGTTTTGGAGTTTCTACATGAGAACAATATCTTGTCAGCCGCCCAATCTGGTTTAAGGCCACGTCACTCAACTATTACCACTCTCCTAAAAGTAACTGATGACTGGCTTCACGCAACTGATAAGAAAGAGTATACGGGGGTTGTATTTGTGGACTTAAGAAAGGCCTTCGATACCGTGAATTGTGATATTTTTATTAAGAAACTCAATAACATAGGAATTTCTGGCACTCCATGTACATGGTTTAAAAGCTACATGTCAGACAGAGTCAGTAGGACACTTATTAATGCAGAGCTTTCTTTCGAATCAGTTATTGAGTGTGGTGTGCCCCAAGGTTCCCTTCTAGGGCCACTGCTCTTCATCGTATATATAAATGATTTAGTAAAATGTATAAAAACCTGTCAAGTTCAGTTGTATGCTGATGATACTGTTTTAGACTTCTCACATCCTTCTATAGATAGAATTGAATTAGCTTTGAACTCAGACCTAGAAAATATGTATTACTGGATGTGCCAAAACAAATTAAGTGTCAACTGTCAAAAAACAGTTTGTATGCTCATTGGAAGCAACCACATGATATCTAAAAAGAATGTCCTCCGAGTTTCATTGAATGACATCTTCATAGATCAAGTTCATCATGTCAAGTACCTTGGCGTCTTAGTTGATGAAAAGTTAAACTGGAATTTACATATAGACAATATGTTGAAGAAAATTGGTCAAATGGTAGGCTTTCTAGGAAGACTAAGGCGATTCCTAAGTGAATCGGTACTGAAATTAATATATAGCTCACTGATCCTTCCGTATTTTGATTATGGTGATGTTATTTACAGTGCAGCTTTCAGGAAATATACAGATCGCCTTCAAAAATTGCAAAATAGGGCAGGCCGGATTATACTTAAAATAAAACTTGAATCTCATGTCTCTGTTTTGGAAATGCATAACGCTCTTAATTGGCAACTCTTGGACAAAAGAAGAAATCATCATTCCCTTGTTCTTATGTATAAAATAATGAATAATCTAACCCCCGAGTATTTAAGAAATGAATTTGAGTTGAGAACCCATTCCTACCCTTCCCGAATTGGAGCTCAAATAAAATTACCCAAACCGAGAACAAATTACCTCAAAAGATCATTCAAGTATAGAAACGCAAAGGCCTACAACACACTTCCTCCTCATATCAAATCTTCCCCTAGTGTTAATACATTCAAATCTAAGATTGCAGAACTGTTACAGTAGCACATGGTCCCCCTCCTTATTCTGTTATGATTACTTGTTTTGTATGAATTTTTTTTTTTTTTTTTTTTTTATCCCTTTATTTTTATTACTTCTTTTTGTTTTCTTTCTTCAAAATGTATTTACTGTTGTTCATATAATGTATTTATGTTTTGTTTTGTTTATGTAATTGTTCCGGACCCCACGGAAGACCAGCTTTCCCATGTCGGGTTAGCTGAATGTGGGCTATCCATCGTATTTTATGCATTTTTACTATGTTTTTTATACGAAAATAAATACTACTACTACTACTATTCATTAACCCACTTAAGTGTGAATTTGGCGCATCTTCCCTCATCTTCTTCAACCAGGAAATGGACTTCATTGTAGCCTGTCATGTAGGACAGGATTGGTGACACAAAATGGATAAAAGAACATCATAATCAGATTCTCTGACCCCGAAAACCCCATAAATATACAAAATGTTATCATACTAGCCCCCTTCCTGTCGTAACTACTGTTGACCTATAACTATACAGACGGCGGCCATTTTGGATTTGACCAAAATGACCAGTATGGCAGCCCCAAGGAGGCCTCAAATCAATGACAAAACATGAAAATCAGTTTCTCTGACCCTGAAAACCCCATAAATATATAAAATGTTATCATTCTAGCCCTTTTCGTTTTGGAACTACTATTGACCTTAAACTATCAGATGGCGGCCATTTTGAATTTGACCAATATGACCAGTATGACAGCCCCTAGGAGATCTCAAATGGATGAAAGAACATCATAATCAGATTATCTGACCCCGAAAACCCCATAAATATACACAATTTTATCATACTAGCCCCCTTCCTGTCGTAACTACACTTGACTTGTAACTATGAGATGGCGGCCATTTTGGATTTGACCAATATGACCAGTATGTCAGCCCAAAGGAGACCTGAAATCGATGAAAGAACATCATAATGAGATTCTCTGACCCTGAAAACCCCATAAATAGATAAACTTTTAACATACTAGCCCATTTCCTTCCATAACTACACTTGACCTGTAACTCAGATGGCGGCCATTTTGGATTTGACCAATATGACCAGTATGAAAGCTCCAATGAGACCTCAAATCGATGCAATAACATCATAATCAGATTCTCTGACCCCCCAAACCCCATAAATATATGCATTTTTTTTATCATATTAGCCCTTTTCCTTTTGGATCAACGCTTGACCTTTAACTCAGATGGCGGCCATTTTGGATTTGCCCAATATGGCGGTCACAGAGGGCGTCCTTCCTTGCGCCCGGCAGAAATCGTAATAGTATGATATAAGCTACCTCTGGGCCAAATTTGGTGTTTTTAGAAGGATCTGCACCAAAATATCCCTAACAGCCCCGACTATATAGTATTCCTTTATATGACCAAATATCTATGAAATGTACCACTATTGAAAATGTTTAGCTGTTAGCACAAAGATATATCAACTTTTGTCTAATTGGTTGTAATTCCAATACAAACTTTAACATTAACAGTCAATTTGAAACTAAATAGTATTTTGTCAGGTAATCATCCTTATTTTCCTTTTCTCAATGACATCTTCATTTTCGAAATGACCCCCCCCCCCCCCCTTGAGAAAAAAAAATACGTGATTTTTACCTTTTTGGGGGGGGGGTTGGGCATGGTCATGGTTCAGTGACAAAGCAATGACGTCGTAACTGTGAGGCCCCATGATAAAAACCGTGTTAAACACCGTGTCGATATGCTATATTAGTGCCCTTTTGTGGGGCATTAATCCTCATTACTGTCATGTTTGACTTAAGGGCGTAGATCCCCTAGTTTATAAGCATATTAGCATACACATGCCCTTATCAGTCACGCAAAACAAACAATGGCAAATTATTATTCAATACAATCTGAGAATGTATTCTATTATCTAGATCTATTAGGATAAATCATTTTTGAAACATTTCCGTTAATTGGGGTAAAACAAAATATTTCAACTATATGAGCGACAGTGTATTTTCATATGGCATGGTAAAACGTATTTTAAATGTTCATCCATTTTCCGTAGAGGTATCTTCGTCGGATGGTTTGAACACTTAGCTGGAGATGCCAGGGTCTTGGGTTTGATATACCACTGACATACACTTATTACCAAACAATGCATTTTCTTTACATTGCTTCTCTTCTCTCTAGTGAGTAGGATGAGTGAGTTTGTATAGCACTATGAGTGTCTGCAAAATGGCGCCTGACTGGAATGCTCCCTATTGAGTGTAGAATGTGCACACATCGTGTGCAGGCAAGCCTGAATCCGATGTCAGGAGTAATGATATGTCTGTCAAGCGGTTAGACATTGTAGAGGTAATATATGCGACATCAACCCAAAATATCATTCTATTAAAGGTAAAGACCAGTATTGGAAACGCCCCAATTTCAAAAAATGAAATGGAAGCTCTCATTACCAATCATGTGAAAGAATATGTTTTGACTAATACATGATGATAAAAAAATTTGCCGGGAAACCGCCTACTAATTCATATATTTGGTAAATTTGTTTCTCTCATGGTCTGTGAGAGATATAGGGTAGTCCCATATACATCTTTCTGTGTATAGTGCTTGTAACTTTACGAAGAATGGGCCAAATTTCTTATCATTTTGATGACTCCAGAACCTTGCAGATGCTAGATGCTAGATGATCAACCTTTTTTGATCGATTCCACAACGTTTCTTTCACAATGCAATCGCATGGCCATAACTGGTCTTTACCTTTAATAATTAAGAAAGTTGGAATAATGCATACATACAAATTTAGAAAGGTGAATTTGAAATAAATATCATTGTACAATAATCTCACATCATTAAAAAAGTTGTCTGTCATTGCAAGATGCTTTCAATAAAAAATTAAAGTAAATGTAAGTGAGCCTTAAACAATGGATATGCCCAGGGACAACTAACGTCATAATTGGTCAGTTCAGATGACATGCATGATATGAATGGTGAACAACCTGAATTGGGACTAGCAAGCAAATAAACTTGTGTGTAGTTGTTAAAGAAAAGCATGATTATTTACCTGAGGCTGATATATAAAAGATAATAGTGATATTTGCTGACTCTACTTAGGGAATATGAATATGGACAATATCGCCCTTGAAAATCATGTCGCCCTCATCTTACGACTCGGGCAACATTATTCTGTTGCATACGATGTATTCTGATGTCCCTACTCAAGGCCATACGAAAATGGGGAACTTTGAATAAGCTATTTAACCATGCATTGTACTCCCATATTTATACATTAAATACACAAATATAAATATATGTATCTCTCCTTAGATCAATGTAGTCCTCATTGGAGAAGCATATTACTCGCATCTCATGAAATACCAAATAGCTCATCAGCGAGACGAATTTGATTAGCCTTTTTTAGAACACCCTTCAGGGCTTCACACTCTGTGGCCTTGGTTTGCTTTTTGCTCCAGTCTCGAAGCATTGACAGTGTACCCATATACGATACTTCTGAATTCTTCATGTAACGTTGGATATCTTCTGGTTTAAAGCCGAGAGCCTTCCCGAGATCGTCTATTCCTTCAGGCTTGACAACGCTTTGAGCAACAGCCTTCAGCTTTTCGTCGAAGTCTTCCTGTCTACCTGAAATATTCCTAAAATAAATCATATACTTCTAATTGCATGTCCTGACAACAGGAAGGAGGGGGGGGGGGGGGGGGGTTGCAGCAAAAAATCCTATCCAATGGCTACATGTATTTTAAAGCAAACAAGATCGATGTTAAGTCTCCCCAACGGGTAGAGTACAACGAACATTCCTTTTCCACGTCTCTTAATTCGAAATCTTATGGTTTTGATTTCGATATATCACATACATCATTAGTAACAGTGATATTATTATTTTTTTTAATTTGTGAGTGAGTCTCTACTTGTTTTAATTTCACAGCATACTAACAACATTATATATATATATATATATATATATATATGAATATATATATATATTCGATTATAACTATAACATATGTGTGCCCAGTTTCCCCTTATCTTTACTGAATGATTGTTTTTAATTGGTAACTTACTTTGCAACCAAGCAAAAAATATCTAAGGAAATAATGTCCACTCTTATCATAAAGTTCTTGCAGCAATTTGATTTACATTAATCTTGTAATAATTTCTATATTCAATAAAGTTGATTATTGAAAAAACAAAAGGCAAATTTGTTGGGGGAAAACTGCCCCTTGCCCCTCCCTCCTCCAAAGACATTCAGGTTTATACATGCACATATCCTGATCTCAGCCTGAATCTACTAACTATGTTGACAGTATTGAAGGTAAAAGAAATGATCATAACTTACTCTAGAGTTTCAGCTGCACCTCGATGTGATGACTGCAGTGCCTGTGAACTTGATGTACCTTGCAGTTGTTCTGCAATTTCGAGACCCAGAAAAAAGGAACATTGAACTACATGTTTCAGTCATTTCCCTATAATTCTGAGTGCTGAATAAAGTAAACTTCATATTCAACAACAATTTCCTTTTTTAAAGGGAGAACACAATCCTACAAGCATGCATCACCAATATAATTTCTTATATTTGGTATCAGGGCCAATCATTTTATTCGAAACTTCTCCCAGATTGAATTATTTAGCATTTCACTATTCATGGCATTAAGAGTTTGTTTGTGCTGGTATTACATTCTCTAAATTCTCAGAATAAAGAATAATTTGAAATTATATTACCAGAGATCAATGAATCTTCATGGAACTGTAATATTGTATGACTGGACAGTGTTCTAAAAGAGGTCTGAAATAATTTTCCTTTAATGAAATTCCATTTCTCTGGTATGTTACAATCAGCTAAATCAAAATGACAAATCAGCTAAGAAAATAAAAAACATGTTTTAGATGCATTTATACTGTCAATGGAAAATTATTTCCAGTTACATTGACTTTTTGTAGTGATTTAAAGCATGGACATTTCTTTAATGATTATCTATTTTGAGAGACACTGTTTTCATAGTTTTTTTTCTTTGGGACTCACACACATTGTAAACACTGGGACAGTAACTTTATTGTAAATGTTGAATCTCAGTCAAATGTAAGAAATGTGTATTTTGCTGCACTTAAATGGAAATTTAATCTAAAAACACAGCTACAGTTGACAGACCATAACCCTTTAAAAGTTATGGACCATTCATTAAATTAGGATCGATACGAGCCTATCAGACGTAGGAAATTACACCAACAAGAGTCTGATCTCTCCTTACTTCAGCCACCATAAGAGACATTGTGTAGGAAGGCATTTAGGATAGAATTTCACTTTGCTTGTGCGTCAATCAGCTGTAATGCACATCCCTAAATTACATAATTATTACGCATTGGGAATGACTGTACAGAGAAATACAGAGATATACAAATAATGAATATATAATAATATTAACATCTGAATTGCAATTTGTGTAGCGTATTTTATTTATGCCAAACTCATAACGGGACATGGAGATCATATTGTTTCTAGAGATAGTTTCTATAGATAATATAGGCAAATATGTGTCTGATATGGCAATAAATTTGCCACAGTAATGAATACATTTCAGATAAAGATGAGTTCTGGTCATGCAATAAGATTGTGAAATGATCTATCTGGAAGTAAAGATGGATTGTGGAGAACATAGGAATTAGTTGACACTGTCAAGTTTCGAATCATCTACTGGATATATTTAACGGATCTAGCTTGATGAAAAGCGCATGCGCTGCTCACAGAAATGGGTAAAAGGGACTACAAAAACACATGGAATGAATGTTTGGTCCAAACAAGTCAGCTTCTTCTTGTCATATTTTTTATTATGACTTTCTTCCAACCAATATTACAAAAAATAAAAAAATCACCAATTAATTTTTCATCTTCACCAGAACTCAACCTTCACTTTAAACCAAATACCTTGATCTTGTGGAACAGCTTTCTCTCTTTTGTCTTCCAATCGAAATAAGAAATTGACTTCTAGTTTCTCATGTTGTCCTACTTTTAGTGACACTGCAACACTATCAGACTGGTTGGGGAAGTCCAATTCAAAGGGCTCACAGATCATGGTTCCACTCATTAGTTTATCAAAGGAGACAACCTTAACAAATAGATTAATTGCACGGAGCTCATCAAATGAGTACGTTAACAAACTGACCTTAAATTGTTCCTATAGTAATCATCTGCTCATAAAGTTTGTATAAGACATTATTGTCCTGAATTTAGCTCCAACAACATTTAAGAGCAACTCTAGCATTTGGAAGATTACGTAATTCCTACCATTCCAAATTTAGAATCAGATTGTAATTACGTATACAGATCCATACATTTTAAGTATGTGGAAAGATTGATAACCCAAACTGAGAAAACTCTCACAAAACCCGTCGTAAAGCAGTAACATGGCTCTCATTTCAATTAAGCATAATTTCAAAATACTGTTAAGGACCTTTCAGTGCTCTGATTATGAGTCCTAGGCAAAGTATGCACCCTCGAGCAATCTGAAATCAGCTCAGAAAATGCTATTGCAGTATGAACAATGTAAATACGCAAAGTTACAAGTCATACCGGTACGATTTGATACACAGGTGGAACAATACACAATATCATCCGACCATGCATTGGTTTAATGTTCCTATTCAAAATCAGAGCTACCAGAATCTTTAAAAACATAATTTGAAATAAATTTGATTATCTATCTACTTACAGTAGGTCCTCCAATTACTGTCTGCTTTACGTAACAGGTCATTTTGAGATCACCTTCTGCTGTCTGAATAAGAACCTGTAGTTTTTTATGGGCAGGTATGAATTCTTGTTCACCTTCTTCGCTTTTTACCAACTGTTACCAAAGAAAAGAAAACAGACTTATACAGGACTGTATAAATATACAAGGTAAGAGAATATTGACATATCTTAATGAACAGTAATAAAACTCAAAAACATCAATTTAATGATGCATTATATTGGTAAATGGGATCTTTTTCAAAGCTTTAGAACAAGTTTTCACAAAAACTTTTGTCTAAAAGTGCTAAACTTGCAACAGTTGTTATTAAAATAATAAATAGTGAACAATAACATATTAGATATGGAAGCACTCTTAACAAAATTACTTTATTTGGTAATTTTTGATAAAAAATTTGCAATTAAAAACATGAAGGGGTAGTCCACTCAAATATTAATTTTTTGTTTTAGAAGCAGAACAAAAGAACAGGTCACTGAAAGTTTGAGTAAATTCCGATTCAAAATAAGAAAGTTATGATTTTGTGAAGATGTGATCAATCAAACACAAATTGGCAACTCTGTGACGCACTTTGCGAGCCTTCTTCCCATTTGATTTAAATTTCATGAACTGTCATTCTCTTTGTTATTGATGATGGAATATATAATTTTCTATACAGGGGTTTTATAGAAACATCAAAGGAGAAGAAGAACTACTAATGGAGATGTGTATCCCTGGAAGCACTACCTAATTTGACAGGAGCAAGGAGGTTGTCCGCCCCCCGCCCCCCACCACAACAACCTTAAGATAAAGAAATAATAACAGACTTTTGAATTCGCATGAGTGCGCATTATTGTAACGGCATGTTGGCTAAGTGGTTAGAGCGCCCGCCTCATGAACGGGAGGTCGTGGGTTCGAACCCCGGCCGAGTCATACCAACGACTTTTAACAATGGGACCTTCTGCCTTCTAGCTAGGGAAGGGAAGTAATAACTTATTCTTTGTTTTTTAGAGCTTAGATGTTCATACTTGATAATTAGAAAAATCTAAGGTTCGAATGTCCAAACCCAGTGGCCTAACAAATAAGGTCGCATCCTCTTCATCGATTGAGGATAAATGAAAAATAGAGAAGAAAGAGGGGAAGGCATTAAAGGAATATGATCATGATACCTCACTCGATGACTTTCTTCTTTCACATTTCATATAGAGTAACTGTCCCCCCCCCCCCCTCCCCTTCTCTCCCGACAACACCTTAGTGCACCAGTGCTGCATGGATCCATGCTGATCCACTGTTCAAATAAATAAAACAATTAATTTTCCCTTTTCAAACTAACTGTACAATTATTATTATTATGTTTATTATAAATCTTTGGTATGACTCGACCGGGGTTCAAACCCACGACCTCCCGTTCATGAGGCGGGCGCTTTAACCACTGAGCCACCATGTCATTACAACATTGCATGTTCTGAAGGTAGGAACGCTTTTCTGCCGACCTCTAAGGCCGTTGAACACGTTGCGGTGGTGATAAACACTCTATGGTGAAGATTTTACTTCCCGAGTAAAGGCATAGTTGATACTTAATGGGAAATTACAACATTTTTGGAAGTGCTTCCATATTTGCCACGAATATTGACACTTCAGTACATTGTATCAGATTCCTCAACTTCCAAATCAACTGATGAAACAACAATTTACCTCGCTATTTCCTATGATGTCGTCATAGAGGTGTGCATGTAAGATGACAGGTGTCTTCTGCAGGGCTAAGTTCTTTTCTTTAAACGGCTGACAGCACATCTTCTTTTCTCGGAAGAAGAAACTATTGATCCTGAACTTAATGGTCACCCATGAAAAGTGGTTCATCGTCAGTTTGAGTACAGATTTCGTGATAATGCAGCTAGGTGTTCCAGACCTCGACAACATAATACGTTCTTTAACAACTGCATCTATAATCAACAATTTGGTGGTAACAATCTGGAAAATTATGGACTCATTGAAGCGAGGGATAAACATGGTTGTTAAAGTAATTCACTAATAGCAAGCAAATGCCAAGGCCTCTGCATAGAGTAGTTGTGGGTTCATTCGTATTAGCACATTTTTAACCTATACACGTTGTTTACTCCAACATCTTCAGACCAATCTATTGGTGAGGGAAGCGCATGTGAGGCGGGAAAACAGCTGATGGGATTATAGCAATTTATTGTCAAGCTTCATTTCCCCCTTTTCTTTTTCTTTCTTTCTGTTCTTCTATTTTTTCACAATATAAATTATTGGGAGCGTTTTCCTCATACATCCTGTAGCAACGCGTTTTTTTGGGGGGTGCACTTCAAGAGTATGTCTTCTTAAGAGTTTCACTTGAAGTTTGGCCCAATTATTCTTATGCTACCAAATCTCATTATTGACCTTCAGACTCTCGGTTTAAAAATGTGGTCTGAATTTTCCTCTGTCATGCACAGTGGCGATTGCTTTGTTCTGGAAAATGGGATACACACACGACTTCGTCGACTTGATTTTTCACGTGGTGAAATCTAAATTAAATATTCTGAGCAATATGTTAAAATCAACATACATGAAGACCTCAATAATGTTTTGAGTCACTTACGATCAAAAGTGTCAAACGTTTTTTTAATACACCTAGTACTTTTAATGGAAAATGGAGTTACATCTTTTTATTTACCTATTGCTGAGTGTTTCATATATTTACAAAAAAGTTTTCACATTGATAACATTTATGAAATAGCATTGCTACATAATAGGCATAGGCCTACATGTACTTACCGGGTGAGTATTCTCCCTCTCCCGTGTATAAGACTGCCTCCACACTGGAGTATCGTGTAATCACAGCACAGTGAGGTATTGTGTAAGTCACTGGTAACTTCAGAACCAAGTCATCAGGGGCTAAACACTGTACACCAAAGCAGACTGACACCTCGGCTTTGCTGTGGCTAAGATTTGGAGTATCTGTCAGGACACGAAGAGAAATGCCTTGTGGCGCTGTGCTGTCAATTGCACCGGGAGGGATATCAAGTTCAATCCCAAAGGAATCTAGCTGAAGTTTGCCACCTTCAACTCCAACTCTCTTACAACATTCCATCTTGATTGGTTTGTCATTTACTACAGATGGTACTGAAAATCAGAAGAGATATTTCCATTAAATTGTGTAAACTCTCTGCAAACAATAGAATACGTAATTGTACTTCAACTTTCCAGCAAAATATTAAATATAGGTTAAGGAACACCAAAGAGCAATATCACTCTGAAGTACCGGTAAATATTTCATGACAGGTATAAGAGTAAAAGAATAATATTCTTAAACATTTTAAAGTTTTTATCTTTTAAAAGGCAATTTCTTTCAATTTCTTCTTAAATATTGCTTAGTTAAAGATTCTACGTTGTAGAAAGATATAGGCATTTAGATATACAATCTTTGGAATTTAGCAATTTACATGAATGATGTATATGTTTCAACCTAAAGGATTTAGCACAATTACTCTTTACCTATCTGTCATTAAATTTGTTGTAATATAATGAAATATTAATATAAAAGAAAAATATTGTGATTTACCCAGACGTTTTTTCTGCCTTTTGCCGAACAAAACAAAACTTGCTTCTTGCTAGAACCACGCATGGTAGGCCTACTGTCACTAAAACACATCTCTGTTAGAAAGTGTTGTATATTTTAACATAGATTACGCCATCCAGCGTCCAAAGTTTTATATATTTATAAATGAGCTTGTTACTACTCTCGCTCTCATGTCGTCGAATCATGAATACACTAAGTTATCAAATACTTTATTCTTTGTTTCGTGTCTCTGCCATTCCTGTGAATGAAGTGGACATGCAACAACACAAAGCACCAGAGAGAAACATTTATATTTCTTTCCTTACTCTCCAAATCAATTTCTGCTGATATTGTTCAAAGCAAAACATTAACCTGTTTCACGGGGCAGGCTTTCTCTGGCAATGTAATCCTCTGTTTCCTCCTTCTTTTCTTTCTCTTCTTCACCTTCATCCTCCTTTCCTTCTTCCTCAGTGTTCTGGGTGTCTGTCTGTTCTTCATCAACTTGGACCATTGCGCTGGCTTCAACAAGCTCATCTGTAAGATACAATCAGTCAATAATGGACTTAGAATATAGATCTTTTCCTGAGACTAGTAATAATTCAACCACTACATCACGGTTTAATGCCGTCTCGTCTACAACCAGTTCGTCTACCAACCATTAAGTATATTCCCATATGGTCTAGACCTAGCCCGTCTACTATTCACATGGTCTAATAATCACTTCGTTTGGTCTAGTGACGTGATTGAACATTCCCCCCCCCCCCCAAAAAAAAAAAAAGATGATACAAAAATACAAAAATACAAAAATAGAACAAAAAAAAATAATGAAATGATAATAATAATAACAATAAATATATTTTAAAAAATTAAAAAAATAAAACAACAATTATGGAAAGTGTGGATGAAACAGTAGCTGGGTGGAATTACGGTTAATTGGGAACTAATTTATCTATTCATTTCAGCACAAAATTATGCCGATTACTGTTTTTGAATTGTCTGTAGATGTATAGCTGGGGAAATAGCGTTGGATATTGTGTTAATAGCAAAGGTTTCAAGGTTGAAATCACAAACGCAGAATATTTACATTTTGTCTAACAGGCATGTCATATTCTAACGTAATATGTACGAAAACGAGTCGAGCTCTATACTATACATGCTCTATTTCTATTGGAGGGGTGCCATCCAATTTACATTCAACCATTGCATATTATATTGAAACACGCTGCAAACTTCTGGATAAGTATTTTTGTTAATAGTTTCATACAACAGACGGAGTATGTTTGGTCGACATAACGTTCAAATCCATTCTATTCAATGAGGACATGTTTTATTTAATAGTTGGTAAAGTTAAGTCAAGGCACAATAGGGCCTACCTAATCATTACCGACCTGAATAGTTGACAAGGTATTTATCAGTACAGTAATAACAAGTAAATAGCATCTCCCTGGTAATATCTATTTATTATTACTTTTTTGGGGGGAGGGGGTTAAATTATCAAAAAATGCTTTGGGATGATTACATTTGCGTACTTGATGTAATGTAAAGCAGAGAAGACAAATAAATGGAGATAGGAGTGAAAGATAGAAAAAAAATAAGGGGAGAACAGACAGATTTATGAATTTGTTTCCGTTACACTTTTAAAGGGAACATTTACCCAATTTAAAGGGGCAAGGATTACACCCCCTCCCGGCCTGGTCAATCTGCCCACTCAATTTTGACCATCTCGTACAGCGTCTTTCAACCGGCCGGTGCCGCAAGACATATGTAGGGATGCAACGACAGAAATGATGTTATATATTAACAAACATATATATTAATAAAATACCGTCGATTTCATGAACCGCGAGAGGTATGTAATTTCACAAGGATATAACATTTTGTTTTGAAGATAGTAAAGGGTATTTCTTCCTTGCTCGCTTCGCTCTCTGGCAACAGTAGAAACAGGATGATTTCAGGCCGCCAAGTGCCTGAATTTGGGCAACGATCTGCCCGAAAATCCTTATATTTGACAGCAAGATAACAAAAAAGATCTTACATCTTTTCTATCGAAATTACATTTTTACCACGCTCATTTTTTTCACTCACTTGCAACGTTTGGACGATGAGGTGACCGAATTATTTTTTTGTTAATATATATATATATATATATATATATATATATATATATATATTTTTTTTTTTTTTTTTTTTTTTTTGGGGGGGGGGGGGGGGTTACTTAATGCCATCGCGGTGGACGCCTTTGAAACACTTGCAGACCCTATATACACATACATATAGGTGCAAATTACCATTTAGTCCAATCTCCATATGGTCTAACATCATTTCGTCCAACAACATTTGTTTCCATCAACCATTTTGTCCTATAATCATTAATTTTTTCGAAGCGTCATGCGCTTTGACCCACAAAAACAACCCTTAAATGTTTTTCTTTGGATCTCTCTCTTTTCTCATTGCGTGTAGCTTTTATATAACAACATATATTGGTGTGAGCAAAAGACTTGACTGCCTTTTTCTCTCTCTCTCCCTCCCCCCCCCCCCCACTGGGATTAGTCTAATACTTCCAAAAAGGATTTAATTTTGTTATAGATGCACGTTGAATAATCCAAATCTCCAACAAAGTTTATATTTAAGTCCAAATTGATGACGAGTTTGCGAGGGGGGAATGTATAGTAACACACAAATCAGGGCTGTTTTTACAAAACTTGTTATCAATAACTGTTATGAGCTACTGAAATCATGGCATTTTATGTGCTAAGAGCAAAATTGTCTTAGAAATTTTGCATTTGTTATTGATAACAAGTTTTATGAAACAGGGCCCATAATTTATTGTCAGAACATGCTACTTTTTGGCATGAACTATCCCCTCCCCTATCCCCGGATAGAATATATGAATCAAAAAGAACAACGAAAGTTAATCTGAATATAATAAGAGAAAACTGTGGAATTATATAAGAACCTATAGTTGCTACTTGGTTTAAAAGAATTAGTTTAAAAGAAATCCAAACAAAAACAAATCAAAGATCCAAGACTAATCGGTTATTTAGACATAGGCCTAACGGTAATGGATAAAACTGGTAAACGGACCAATCGGCAAATAAAATATACAAAATAAAATTTATGGCCGAATGATGATTATATCAAATGTTGATTAGACCATATGGTTATTAGACAAAATAGTATTAGACGGAATCAAAATCGACCATGGACCTATTACGGATGGACATTCATCGTTTTCTTAACGAATTCATTGTGATTGTCTCCGTCAATGTCATCTCAATAACATTCCGTACATGTTTCGTCACTTTGATCTCATGATGGTCACCGCCAAAAAGCCGGGACAGAATCAAGATAGTGATTTTACACATGTTAATCTACATGCGCAGAAGATAATAACTAGCCTAAATCATGGAAAATAGATGTGCAGTTCTGGCTTATAATCGTAAATTGTTGTTCCGTGTACTGTACATGTATTTTGAAAAACATGTTGATATTACCAGATAGAGGTTGTTTTTGGATTTTTGGGTAGTGATTTAAAATCCGGTTTCCCCCTATTTCCTCATAATATTCCAGAGTTACAAAGCACATGGCTTATAAAGATCATGGTCTTCTAACTGTTTTATAAAAAAGGTCATGGGTGTGTGCGAAAGTATGCGAATCAGTAATCATACATTTCATATCACCAAAATCGTCTGCTTTTCAACTTTGCTGCTACCCATTGGGGATGCTTTCATTTAAGACACACTCTTACAGAGCACACCATCCAAACAAAACCCAAGAGAGGGAAACTGCTCCTTTGTCAATGACCGAAAATGCTTACGCAGTCGTTATTGTTAAAACAGTATTATAAAGATAGGTTTCACTAACCATAAAAGCCACCTAATTGAAATCTGTCACAATTCTCAACAACATTGTATTTTTCATTGATAACGAGTTTTATGAAACAGTGTTCTGGTTCACCCAAAAAAGTGACAGCCGACACGATTCAATTTATTGCCTTCCGTTTTTATTCTGCAACTCAACTCGCTGCTAAACACTTGGAGCAATTGAACACAAGTATGGTGTCTCTGAAAGAACAACACAACGCCATTCTGTCTGCAGAGGATTATACATTCATTGACAGTGTGTATTTAATACTCCTCCTGACACCAAACAGAATAACAGTATTAAAGCCCTATCTTGATTGCCACACAACATGATATTCTATACGAACTTAAATAAAATGGTAAGATACTTATAAGCTGATTGAATGGACGTACACTCCAGATTCAAAATAAGAAAATTAAATCCTACTCCTTACAACATCATTCTAGACAAAAATGATGAGAATGAGAAGATGAAGTGACTACTTACTTGATCTTCTAGGCACCACTTGACTCTTGTTCCATGACTCCACCCCTTCATCACTCATACCTGCATCAAAGTACATGAAGAAATAAATTCAAATTGAAAAGAGTTGAGATCTAGTGGAAAACATCAGAGGGCTGTGGATCCCAAGGCATTGGGTTGAAATCCCTGCCACAGCAATGCTCTCCACTGGCAAGAGATATATCCACATTCTCGGGTTCGTGAGTTTCTTTACACCAATCTAAAGATGTTAGGAAATATAAAGATATTGATTATTTTGTCACGTACAATTAGCGTGTACCTATTCCCCCTCCTGACACCACATCGAATAAGAGTATTCTCCTTCTGAATTGACACAAGACATAATATTATATATTAACTTATATAGTATGGTATGACATTTGTGAGCTTATAGAATAGACACTAAAGATTCAAACTAAGCAATCTGTATAGACATACCAAACTTTGACTTAATTGGAGCCGTACGGATCTTATGTTCTCCACACTTGAGTGACTTTCTCTTGAAGCAGTCTTGAAGCAGTTTCTTCTTACTGCACTTCGGGCACAGAAAGCAGACATCATACTCGATCCTCCTAGACCAGTGCAGAATAAGGTCATCAAGGGTTCTCCTTACAAAGTCCATTACCTGCCGTAAACACACAAACATCACCAAGAGAGATATGTTATTTAATTTTGTGTGTGGCTAATTTAAGCTTAATTAATGTGGATTCAAATTCACATCTCATAATAGACAGATCTCAGTTCGATGAAAATGTCATAAGGATAAAAGTGTCGTAGTCAAGTGGTTTCAGCACTTGACCTGAAATGCAAAGGTCATGGGTCCGATCCTCCAAACGGTACTAATGTCCTTTGGCAAGGCATTAATCTACAATTGTCACTTAATACCCAGGAGTGAAATGGGAACCTGGTAGGATGACGAAAGCATTTGCGTTGGTAATTGCCTAGTTAACATGTTGCCTGCGATTAGTCTACGGAGCCCATATCCTGGCCGTATCCCCTTTTCCGAGGCAGGAGGCGGCCGTGAGGTTTTCGTACGGATTCACGGGTTCCGCAGCCTCTTCGATTTTTGTTTGCAGGAAGTTATACAAATTTGAAAAACAAAATCGTAAGCCCGTAGCTCGTAGATGATGTGAACACAAACATCTTATCCCGTAGCCTCCAGTTACGATGCCCACAAAATCGCACGAAATATCGGAGACCACAAAACCGTACGGCGCCTGGGGCAAATGTAAACTAATGCCTGGATTATATTTGCCCCGAGACATACGATTAATTGGTCTACGATTTTTCGTGCGATTTTTTTTTGGAGGGTATCGTAGGAGGCTATGGGCTACGATGTTTGTGTTAACATTATCTACGAGCATCTTCCCCGCTTGCATTGACCCTCGGGAGCAAGCGGGGCAAATCCGCACAGAGGCTGCTTGGAAATTGTATGGAAATCGTGCAATTTCAGTGCAGTAGCCATGTAGTCTCCGCAGCCTCCGCACGGATATCATACGGAGCACGTGCAGTTCCACCTACCACATGTCTACGGGCTACGGGCTTATGATTTTCAAATTTGTTTAAGTTTTCGTGAAATCGTACAAATATTTCACAGCCGCCGCCTCCTGCCTCCGCGCGGAGGCCGCACGGAAAGGGGATACGGGCAAATTACGGGCTTCGTAGACTAATCGCAGGCCAAATGTAATCCAGGCATTATCATTATTCAAACTATTTGTTTGCAGTCCTGATCCTACTTATGCAAAGTAAACTGTATTTACTTCTTTCTATTATATATACGACACATTCAAAAATTGTTTACCAGTGACAGTTTCAATTATAATTAATTAATCATATGGTTCAGAGACCCTTTTCATATGTTCAGGCAGACTGCAACCAGCTACCAGTTTTCTAATCGCCAAAACAAAATGAACGTCGCATCGTAAATGTCAGATAAATGATATGCGCCTCCATCTCTGTTCATTCCTATTCGTACTAATTGAAACCATCCTGTTGAGCTACCTACCTCTTTGACAGCACTTGAGGCTGGTGGGTGGTGAATATCCCCATCATCATCAGAATCAGCAACCTCTCCTTGGAATACAGTGACCTAACATGTATAGCCACAAATGTTCGAGGGAAACAGATTTATAAATTAATTATATGATGGTGTGTAATTGTGTACAGGTTCCCTAAATTTTGACAGGGTTATTTATACATTAAATATATTTTTTATATTCTGTGTTCGTTTTACCTTCATGATAAATAGTAGTCAAAATTGTGAAGGTTGCACAATGTAATTCTGTCAAAGGAATACCAGCCCTGAAGAGCTTATGGTTCTTTAGGTATTGACAGTACGCTCTGACAGTACGTCTTCAGGAGAATTACTATAACATTGCTCGTTGGAGGCTATTCATTGCCTATGAAGGGATCCGATGCGCGGTCTCCAAAACTTGACATACAATTCAGTATCTCCACCATAACAAAACGTATCACTGACACTTGACTCAGACCTTGATAGTTGCTTCATGAGGGGGTAACATCTCTATTAAGGCATGATGCTCTTCATCAACCATTAGACTGATGTGACGATAGTAAAGATTGACGGGTTCTCCATCTCTTTCACCCATCCATCTAACTGCTCTCGCCATCAACCGATGAAACAGCCCATCTGTGGAAATGACAAAAAAGTGAGATGACCAACACATTATAGCTAGTGATGTTTTGAAAGTCAGCTAAAAAAATGTGTTAGCTGCAATGATACTTCAAGACAATTATATATTTCTGTGAAACAAAACATAAGTTTCTAACAAGATGGATTAAACTCGGACTATCAACAAATTCATAACTATGCCTAGTACACCTGGCCGCCCTGACACGTCCTTTGGCAAGACATTAATCTACATTTGCCACTCTCAACCCAGGTGTTAAATGGTTACCGGTAGGAAGAAATTCCTTGAATTGCTGGGAGCCACCTACAATCAGTAGCCCAGAAAGGCTTGGGTAATATTGGAGCACCTTGCGTGGTGGATATATGAACTCTGAAATTATTCAATATTGATATTTATCATTAAAGCAATAAAAAGAATAGTGTAGACTTATCTGATACAAACAAATTGTAAATAGTCTGTAGATTACCAGCTTTCTACTCAAGTTTGAAGCCAATCCTAACAAGTTTCAAATTCATATGTGAGATAGAGTTCTAGGACACCTACCCCCTGGACATCCATCCCAGTCAAGTACCCTTTTAGGACAACTACCCCCTAGGACAACTACCCCCTAGGGCAACCACCCTCTAGGACGACTACTCCCAGGAGAACTTCCCCCAGACAACTACCCCAGACAACTACCTCCTAGGGCAACTATATATGACAACTACCCCCGGAAAACCACCTCCCGGACAACTACCCCCTAGAACAACTACCCCCGGACAACTACCCCAACCAACTTCCCCTACGACAACCATCCTCTATGACAACTACTCCTTGAAAACTATCCTAGGGGGTAGTAGTAGGTATAGCACACCAAAAATAAGTACAACAAACACATGTTATTTGATGATTGCAAATGATCAAGCTTTATGAAAGCTTCAAAAAATAAAAAAACAGAATTGAAATCGGTCAATGCGTTGTGATTTTATACCATTTTTTTTATATCACAAAATTACCGAAAAACCTGCCAGAAATGGTCAAATTGCCAAAAATGGCAAAATTCGACAAAGTTGACAACTTAATTCAACATTTTTTTGGACACAAATAATAAATTAAATTATCAGACACTAAAATATCATCTTTGTGGTAAAAAATACAAAAAAGAAAATTCATATATCTATTTCCGTTTTAAAAACAGAAGCAAACAAAATAAGTAATGTTTGCCATTTTTGCGAATCTGCAGATATGAAAAAGTTGTGAAAAAAACTAAGTCCGTCTAATTAATATGTGCATATATAATCAAATCAAAACCGAACATGATACATTAATGAAACCTATGTATATCAGACAGGTATGGAAATATTTTTTTTTTAAATAAAAAATAAAAAATGAATATTCATCAAATATGCAAATTAGATCATTTCAGCTAATTATATATATATAGGAAAGTCAAATTGTTCATTTTGTTGGCATTTTTTTAAATCACATATTTATAGATCATATTTACACCAAATATTAACATTAAATTCCAAATATTTTTGCAGTGCCAATGAAATATGGCGATGGAAATTACTTTGATCACCGTTACAGCTATTTCTTCATATGTTTCACAATTTATTCAGAAAAACCGAACAAATGATAAGAATTTGCAGACCTTCAGCTACATCGCAGTATAGTTTTTTTTTTTTTTAATGTCAGATTTGAGGATTTATGACGATTTTCCGAGAAACCATTCAATTCAACAGGCCATATAATTCCACAGAGACTAACTTTCAGAAAAGAAAACAAATTTGGTGATCCCAATACAGTTGTGGCTACCTTGAGTGTAAATAACAAATTGATTTAATCAGTGAAACACATGAGGATATTTCATTTTTGTAGGGGAGTTTTATACATTGAAGTGCATTTTCACCACGCAGAATAACAGTCAATGGGTGATCAGCGAACCATGTCACACATGGCTGAAAAGACAATATTCTAATTAATAATTTAACATATTTTCCACATGCCTATAACAATGAACCTACACAGAATTGTAGTTAAAGGTATGCTTGAAAAATATGTGAAATAAATTTATTTAAATATTGTTCAGTTTTTTTTAAATAAATTTACGAAAATTGCTATTTCTACCACCTGACTGCTGTTGTGTGTGTGTATGTGCATGGGGCAGACTGTGTGCACAGGCAGTGTGGTCACCCTAGTAGAAGTCTGGGAAGTAGTTGTCCGGGAAGTAGTTGTCCTAGATGGTGATTGCCCTAGTGGGTAGTTGACCTCTTAAAAATAGAGCAAGTGGCCACTGTAAACAGGTGATTTTTCTAGATACACAAATATCTCATGAGGGAGACAAAATGCATGGCCATTCTTGACAGGTGGCATTAATAGAAAGGTGGCCACTTAGACAGCTTTGACTTTATACAAACCTTGTTCCAATCTAATTGCAATATAATCCAATCACTTTGAAGCAAACAAGGGCATTAACTCTACGACACATTTTATGTGTTTATATAGCCTACCTGTCTTTAAAAATCTAGCCATCTGATTGGTCGAAATAGGAGTACTGATTTTAGCCATTCCCGTTAATAAACGAATAATACCAGTACCGGTTAATAGTTCATGAGTGAGATTTCCGCAACATTCCGGGTACCGGAAAAATAGTACAATTTTGCTGCGATCCCCATTGGTTTAGGTGTTTAAACTTTGTTTGTGTGAACGCGGATTCCATACAGTGCTTTTCGTCTGCGATTCCCAAATGATTGTAACATTCAGTCATCTTTCTAGCGAAGAATAACAGACAGTATCTCAGATTTTCTGTGATGTTTTAACCAATCTTTACTCAAGAAAAGAATAAGGTAAGAATTATTGGTAGATTTGTTGTGTAAATTCGGTATATAAAAGACGAATCGACTGCTTTAATATTCGAGGACTGGCTGTTGGCTCTCAGACGCGCCGCCCACCCTGGCGCACCTCGGGGTCATGGGAGGATGCAACGTCCACTTGAGCTTATAAAAACAGCCATCCTCTCATAGCAGTCGATCATCCATAGTGATAGGTCAGTTTATGACAGTTTCAGTGACCCAATCAGAATTCTACTTCAAATATCTCTCTTATACCTCGGTCTTGAGCATTTCATATCATTTTGCTCCACATTATGTGATTAAATCATCTAGAAAGTCTTTGCGATGTCTTCCTCTCTTCTTCTTTCCGAGAATACGACCTTCTATGACTCTGATCATCAAGCCATCACCATGTCACAATGTGTGTCCAAGTCATTTCTCCTGCCTCACTCTGATAGTTTGAAGCAGCACCCGCTTTTCTTGAGCTCGATCGAACACCTCTTCATTCGAACTCTGTCCCTCCAAGTCGATATATCTATATAATACCTTTCTGGCTATAAACATAATGGTGAATGTTTCCTCACCTGGTAAGAAGCCCCTGAAGTCCACATAAAAGTCTGTAGATGATTTGATCTGCGCAATCTCTTCTGGGGAGCAATGGGGTGTCAGTCTGGAAGGAACGTAGTAGCGCTTCTTCATTACCTTCTCTGTTTCATTTGATGCCTAACATATACAAATACATCCAAAAACTTAAACTATGAATACAAAACAAAATACACCAAGATACTAAAAGAATACATTTCGAGAAATCCAAGCAAAAAACCAAAGCAATTCATGTTTCACTCATCATTTCATTTCACACATCCCACTCCTGCCACTAAATGGTGGCAAGTTTTACAACAACGTCAACCCATTGAGCAATTTTGATTCCAAATTTCAGAAATAGACATTTTGGTACCATTTGTACAAGTTTTCAAAAATCTACTTAGTACCTATATACATTTCACAGCACAAAACAACTTTTTGAAAGGAACATGTATGGATAGATATATATTTACAATTTGGACATTATTAACCCGTTTTAACCCTGAGTCAATTTCGGAATATATCTATATACAAAAGCTTGTATATATTCCTTGTTTTGCTCCTTTATTATCCGTATATTTCTAGTTACAATATTTTGGGGTTAACATAAAACATGATGTGTAGCTCCTGCGACAAATGCTTCGTGGTAATTTCCTACCTAAACCGAATTCCTAACTTCAATACTGGGCCAAACAATATACCCTAACCCTAACCCTAAATCGAAAACAAAGTTGCAACCATAACCCTAACCCTATATTTTTGATAACATAAACCCGGGGCATTGCTGCGGGAGCACGGGTCGGAGAACCATTTAGCTGGAGATTCACCTCAGTGTCTACATCATAATGTTGCTCTTGCTGGAGTCGTTCTACAGGAGCCTCACAGACGAGATCAAACTTGGTCATGAGCTTGACTAAGGCCTCCTTCTGCTCCAAAAAGCCTTGCCACATATGCTGAATCAACCTATCCTCTAAGATACCATGTTTCCGAAGAGTGGTCCAAGCATCACTCACGATCCCGTCCTGGAATTAAAACACAAGATCAACGTAATGGCAGTTGGAATAACTGTACATATGAGTATAGATTGTTAACCATTACTACATGGTGAAGTGAGAGCTTTGTTACATCAATGTTATAACAGATATGTCCTATCATTTCCATCAATATTCTAAAACTCCGTCTCTCAAGAGACTTCTTTACAGCCGTATCACATATAGGTCATAGTGCCGCAGTTTACCGCAATATGTTTTTAAAGTGTACTGTACTTTTAATGTTCTTTCTTTTAACACATAGATACACTGTGTCTGATTCCGACGAAGGGGGAAATGAAAAGCTTATACAGACATTGTTCATGTCTTAAGCCCTATATTAATCCAGAATACTATTTTAAGTGAAGGTGAAGGTTTCTACCCCTTTCTGCATAGCCCAGGATGGTATATTGACCTGCTTGAAGACATTCTATAGCCGTGTGTCCTACGATATCCCGTAGGACAGACTGCATAGGACCTTAAATATAAACTTTAGTACTGGTAATGTGATTGCATTGTGAAAGAAAAGGTGTGGAAAGGATCATAAACAGTTGATCATGTAGCATATAAGTATTGGTGTGCTCTGCAATGTTCTGGAGTCATCAAAATCATAATAAATTTGACCGAGTCTTGGTAAAGTAATAAGCACTGTACACAGAATTCTATATATGGGACAACACACATGGTGTCGGGGCTAGTACTACCTTGATTTCCTTGTCTTTCTATGCTCATTACTCAGCCAGTATCCATTTTCTTCCAAAGTTGTTTGGCACATGTCATTTATTTGTAATCTTGAACATTCAGTGTGAGTTTCGTTTGATTCTGTGAGAATTAATTTTCTTTTTTTTTACCAGAACTGGAGTTTATCTTTTATTGTGGTACGCAATAGTTTTGTTAATTCTCACTTCCCATTTATTTCGTAGATAAACAAATGCTGCAGCTTACCGCAGCATTCACGATTGAGGGTGTAAAAGAGTAAGGGGTTTCTCACCATCTTTGCAGGATCCAAAATGGTTATGACCTGCTTGAAGACATCAATTAGCCACTGAGGATTCAGGATCACCATGTCTCGTAGGAGAGACTGCTGGTCTTCAATGCCTCCGTAGTAGACTATGTAACCCAAGTCATGGTAGAAGGTCAGCATCGTCAGAAGTTCACGCTCTGATTCCATCCCGAATGGCTGCGTCAGTTTCTTGGTCTGGGAGAAAAAGAAGAAACAAAATAAGGGCTTCAAAATCATCATATGATTGGTGAAAAACATCCCAAATAGTGTATATCAAATAAATAAATAGCATAACAGTTACATGATTTACATTTGAATTACAAAAGGCATATACATAATATAAATATTTATGAAGTATTACTCTTACAGTAGGCAACATGGAGCTTGATTCTTATGCCAAGATTTTAAAGGCACCACATCGTTTAATTAACTGGGCCATTTACTAAATTGAAAGGGTATCATTGATGCCTTTATATTACATATTCCCAACAATCAGGGGAGTTTGAATAAATAAATTAAGTACTGAACTTAAATTTGCTTAAAAATGAAATACATAAAAATAAATTTGTTAGAAAATTCGGTACATAAAATTGGCAAATTTGAAAAAGAAAGTGTTTGGATTTAAAGGGATAGTTGAGTTCTGTTTTCAGACCGCAAATGCCTTCAAAGTGCATGGCTATTGCTCTTATTCTTATCTATGACATTTATAGTGCCCTTTTAGAACCTAAAATTGCTATGAAGGTAGTTTTAGACCCCAAAATGTGTGAATTTTAGCCAATACGATCATACCAATTCAGCTCCACTTTAAACAAGAACACGGTGACCGTTAATTTATTACTTAATGAAAAATAACAATACATGAGCCGGCTAATTGTGGATAATATAAGCAACACGGAAATGCCAACAAAAAAGCCTACATCGGCATCGGCTGAAATACGACGTAAAAAGCGTTATTTCGTTTTTTTCAACGGTTTTTTCTCTTCAAATTTTTCAAAATATCTAATATTTGTGGTGGTACACAAGTATTAGAAATCGTTATATTTCAGCAGTCTCTGAACCGATTTTGATTTTAAAAAAAGATGATTTTGTCATTAAGATATTATGTTATTTCAAATTTGACACTCAGTTTTTCATTATCTCACACAAAACCTATTTTGTGTAGCGCCCTCTGCAGCAGAACTCAACTATCCCTTTAAAAACTTGAATTCCAATTTGAACGACATGTATATACAATTGCTTACTAATTTTCTTAATAATATTCTTTTTAATAATAATCCACTAAATGGCAAGAATGATCGTTGCAGTCCTACCTGATCTAATGACATGAAATTGATGCTATCTGCAGCTAGAGCTTCCTCAAATAAGAGCCATCTAAGCGGAATCTCTTCCCCCATATAAGACTCTTTCATCGCTACTTTCTCAATATGTTTCCTCAATTCGACCAGCTACAAAGGAAAGTAAGTATTTGTTTATGTATTAATTGTAAAACTTTACAACTCGACATGCTGCTCATATATTGTCTGTTTCACAAAGTAAACAGATACTTGCAACATTATAAAAACATGAAAATACAAAAGCTATATCACCTCATAACAATGGTAACAATACACAGCAGTATTACAAAAATATTTAGAAAGGAGATAACTTGTTATCAAAATAATTAAGGCAATGCCATTAAATATTGGACGATAAATTCAAGTGAGCATGTTAAGGAATGTTAAAATTATTACACAAACATGTAACTGTTGAGTCAGAGGGAGGATAATACTTATAGACCGGTTCGTAGAAACAATATGCGCATGATGGGCAGATAAAGGTACAAAATAGTAAAATCCACCGAGACTAATACTGGATACATGCTCACGAAAGTTACGTAATCATTATGCTTATGCTTGCACCTGTGATACATTCTATTGAACAGTGGAGGCAATCCTTTTCAGAGGGCAAATAAAGAATGACCTCCATGGCTTTAGCTGTGATTATTCCAAAGGCACGAAGTGGGATTTATCTATGTTTAAAAGATCTGTGGATATGGGATTATCTGAACCATGTGCTAACTACGAACTGGTCTATAGCATTATGTAGCACATACATGTGGAGAAGAATCGACAATGGAAATGAATAAGTGATATCTATCTTCCACAAGGAATACAAACAAATATATTTGTGCAGTTGTATTATTACCAGAGGCAATTAAAGCATGAAGCTTGTGCCAAGTTTTCTAATAAGAATGACTACAAGTACTATCTAAATCAATGCCAGTTGATTTTACGTAGCAAATATCTATAGTTGGTTTTCGTCAAGTACAGTGGATGAAAACTAATTAATGTCATACCACATGTACTAGGATTTGTCGTGAGCAGTATATTTAAATGAATGAAATATTATTGTTCAGAATAACTTCTAGGGAGCTAGCATGTAATTGAAAGTGCTTTTGGAATATATCATAGAATCATATCATTATTTGAGTGAGGAAATATTTTAGGACAATCATTATAAGACATTGAGATTTCATGTCAAATGGAATAATTAAACATGTCTTAGAGTGAGCAGCTATTATTATGTTTGTAAAAAGTCAGATATTAACAGATGTTTATGTCGGATCTTTGTGTGTGAAGGAGCATCTCGATATATGCCATAGTTTAAAAAATCGGGACTATATTTAAGACAAAAATAAAAGTGAGTTTAAAAGTCCATCACATTTCATCCAAATGACACCAAGCTAAGAAGCAAAGTGTAGATTGTATTTTGTTACAGAACAATCCACTGCATTAGCTTAACTTTTTGAAATTATATATTATTGTTGAAGTGGTACAAACATTTGGAGCAATTTGTGCAGCACTTTGTAACTGCAAGGAAAAGCAACTTTACTGTTTGGATTGGCCGGATTTAATTAGTAATACTCTTTTTCTACAAGGTTACTATTCATGATGTACCTCTTCATCTTTGTCCTCTAAGCTGTTTTCAATGGCATAATACTTGGGGACCACATGGCATTGAAACGGTCTCTCCATGATAGATTCACGGATCTTCCCAAAGGCAGAGCCAATCTAGAAAAGAAATGGGAGTGAAATGAACAGAAAATACACATCTCAGTCGTAATATTAAACATGATAATTTATGCAAACAAAAACATACCGATGTGACTTATTATCTTTTGAGGTCCTCTCTCATTTGTTTGGTAGTGCCGATTTCATGAATGAAAGCAATGAGGCTGTGTAACAAAATATTTGTAATGATTACATCTAGGGCGCACGTATGACTAAACAAAATTGTACATATAAAATAAATATTCGTTTTAACTTATTTCCTTTTAATCAAATATTGCTCAAATTTTCACTAATCCATTTCATTAATAACACCAACATTATATCAGGATGAACCTTTTAAAATAATTTTTCATTCAGAATAAAGTGTAAATCCACATGTTGCAAAGTTAGTTTATATCTAGTAAAGCTGTTCTAATGCCATAGCCCAACTTTACTGCCAAACTGACTACTTACTGAATCCGCATGACCAATGTAATGGCCACAGGGTTAGACAGAAAGAACCGTCTGGTATGGGGAATTGTTTGATAATACTGGCATTGGTCAACCTGACAACGAATCCTGTTGATAAAAAGTCTCGAACTGAAAGTTAATTTAGGAGCCATAGGAAATATATGAAGACGTAAAGAGCGTAGAAGAAAAAAAGTCGTAGCATCTCATAATCATGTCGGTCTGCCAGATGTTGTCTCAGCGGAATAACTGTCGATATCAGAGACTGAAGTTTTCAGTCTAACTCGGGGTATGGTACTTTTTGCTCGTTTTTAGGCGTGGCAGCCGGTAGTCAATAGTCAGTAGTATAGCGATGTTATTGACAGCTAGCCCAGCTGTCAATAACATCGCTATAGTTAGGTGTAGGTGTTGATACCTTTCACTTCGGGTTTTTTCACAGTATATCATTAGCAATTATCTTTTTGTCTTACAAACTGAGTTGTCATTTGGAATATGGTGCGAAACTGTAAAGCTGCCGTCAGTACTGGTCGCACACAACTAAAACCTTCAGAGATATCCCTAAATGAGAAATGTGACTTGGGTAACATTTTCATAAATTCCTACACAGCGCACAACCTGGAAAAAGTTGCTCGATCCGAAGGCAAGAAAAGTTTGAAATCCCTGCACGATTGAAACACCTTTCAGTCTTTCAGAAACGTTTATTGCGCATATATAATGCGTGTACCACACGCATGCTACATGCATATGCACCGTGCAACTAAACGGAAGTATTTTAATTCCCAGAAGTGGCTCGAAATTACATCCAAGAGGCGCATGCACCATTCGGCATCTGGGGGTATTAGCGATAGCAAGAATTGCAGAACCGTCAGGAAGAACAGCTGATGCTGAAAGGAGCTTCCTGTGGTATTCAAAGTTATTAGTTTATTATCAAGATAATGTATATCATAAACCATTACTTTTTCCTTTTTCTCTTTTGCGTTTCCTTGCACACTGTCTCGATGGGTTCCAACGATGAATATTGGTGGAGATTTCTGAGCGGTTTTAGACGTATCCTTATTCCTGACCGAAGAGGGCGCCACAGCATGGGCGAAGATGGAACACAACCAGAAATTGATGAACTCTAGACATGTCAGTTCTGATTTCGCACCTCCTTTGGCCTGTGTTTTAAAAATGTAAACAATTACATATATGACAAGGCCAATGATAAAAGCGCATAGAAACACCATGCTTTGTAATTATTTTAACTGGATAACGCATACATGTCCCATTCCTCATATCCAACATAATTTTAATTTGTGTTTTCGTTGAATGACTTGATTTATTTATCTTCATTAACTCCCAAAATAACTAACAGATTACAGCATGATGATTAAATAATATAATAAAAAACATTATCACATTTATGTTTTACTTTGCAATATTACCATAAAATAATCATGAAGAAGAATTGCACCACAAACTAAGCTTGAAGGGAGGCAATTCTTTATAAACTTTCATAATCTGATATATGGTATTGAGGAAAAATACTTTATACTATACTAACAAAAATATAAATCATTAAAAGATGAGGGGTGAAATATGAGGTGTGTGAGCAGATTTCAGGAGGAGGTGTTTAATTAATCATAAAGAGATATAGCAGTACTCCTTGATTTTAAATTAAAAAAGCATTACCAGCTATTATGATTAGAATCATAGTATCATAAATTGATCGCTTAAATAACATGCCCAAGTGTGGAAGTGATTGGAAGGAAGACTAAGTAGGCAAACGTGTACTGAGATGGACTTTCACACCATACTCTCAAAGGGAAAACAAGTCTAATTTACGACTGATTTAATTGTACCAACAATTTACACATGAATTAATCCCGAAGGAAACAGGTAGTTGATTCTATAATGAAAGAGAGTTGAAATGAAAAAGAGCTATCATGGTATTTATACTTTAAAAAATACATTTAACTCGAGTATAATGATCAATAAGAATATGTAAAACTTTACATATTGAAATGTGGTTTATAAGTTATGTCTAGCAAAAAATAAATAACACTTTCTATCATTCATCACTCCCTCTGTAAAGCATAATTATTTTTTAATAATCAGTATGAAATGAAATTTAAAAAAATACCATTTCATAATATTTGTCTCTGGATTCAGGAGGAACGACTGAATCCAAACTTCTACTGAGATCAAAGACTATCACATAGATGGCTCGCCATGTCAGAAACACCTAAAGGTGGAGGAAATAAAAATGATGCATACGGGTTTAATAACTACCATGCTATGTTCTTTCTATATGCTCCATTATTTCTATAACTATAGGTACCTCGTGTACTGTTTATATACGGAGACATAGGCGAAGGGGATAAACGGAGGCGTGATAGCTCAGTGGTAGGGCAATGGTCTCGTAACCGAGAGGTCCCAGGTTTGAAACCAAGTCGATGCACTAGTGCCCTTTGGTAAGGCATTAATTCTCACTAAAAATGTCCCACGGAAATGATTTATAGCCACCGTGGCGGCTTTAAGTCCCCTGGTTGCTTACTTCCAAGCATACATTTGCTTTCCTTAGCAGTCACTTAATACAAATAAACTAAACGAAACAATAACAATATATTAATATAATGAGCACAATTTAGCATTAAGGGCAAAATGTCTCTAAATTGCAATATCTCTATCCAACCCAAGACAAAGCATTAATTTTCGAAATCACCAATTCTCTGGATTTAACTGACTGATGCAGATCCTCTGGCTCCATATTAATAGCCATTATCAATTTGTGAGTATCTATGTTACAATAAAATACAGATTAACAAACCACTGGCAAACATATTATCAATTCTAAATAACTTCATTAGGATGACAAGCGAACTAGATTATGTTAAACAAGAAAACTAACAGTTATAGTTCTAGAGGTGTTGCTGTTTACAGCACATTTCTGCACTTAATTAGATAGCAAGAAATCAGTGATTATTAACTAATGTCAAGTCTGTTATCCTACATTGGGATGTCATATAAACGAACGAAGAAATCATTTTGACTCTGGACAAGATTGTGCACCTATGACTGGAACACACATTCAAAGGGAAGTCAAACCTGATATCACCTGGGTTTAATAAAACCAAATAAAACCAAACAAATGAGAGAGAGAAAAAATAGTGAAAGTTTAAGAAAATTTCATAAACCTTCATTTCTTAGTTATTGGTGACACAATATATTCAATTCATACAGGGGTTTTATAAAAACATTTGTTCAATTATATTTCGGGGGAATGTATGATTCGAAATTGTCTTAATGGAAAATTTAAATTTTGGAAGTTTTGTTAGTACAAGGCAAGTGGGAGGGGAGCTCGCGAGATTTGTTATAGTGTTTGCAGTTGGTGTTTCACTGACCAGTTTCTCTCATTGTTCTGCTTCTATCAAAACAAACTTAATATCAGGGTTTCTCCTTTCATGCACATGTCTAACACTGATGGTAAAAACCAATATGTAGGCCAACAGCTGTGCATAAAATACATGATTCCATGTGCTCTGAACTAAAGTATTATATTGAGACAATGGAAGAATACTCTAAATTATAAAAAAAAAATAGATATCAACTCTAAAATTGATTAGAACAAAATCACAGGAGAAATATCAAATATTTATGACATGAACACTTTGATGATATATGGGAGACTGCAGTCAATATAATTGTATCCCTTTTTCTTCTTCTAAATACCAGAATCTAACAATACATTACACATTTGCTTTCAAGGCACTAAGGTAGAATATACTTTTTTACCTGATGGGTTGTGTAGTATATGTCGTGTCCGGCAAAGTCCCATATACTTAGTGAGACCCTTTCTTCGCTAGCGCTATCAGTACTGTCTGCTCCTATCTCCTGAGGAATGAAGGGAATGAATACACTTCTACTTGAACCTTCATCGTTACATGATAGTATTTTTTTTTCCAACAACCGTCCCTACTTCTCTGTTATTTATTTTGCATCAGCTCTCTATCCCTTTCTCTATATATGAATAGCTCGGTTCCAGAAGGTACTACACCCATGAATCCAAGTTCTCAGAAAAACATGATGTTTTAATTATCATAGTCAGTCATGTCAGTTTGGAATAATACTTTGGTTGGTTATAATTTTGTATGATACAAGTAAATAACACTCTTTAACAAAATGTAAGTCTGCACAAATATTTGTTATGAATTTATGTTGTTTTTTTAATTTGTGGATGTAGTACCTTTTGGAACCAAAATTGGATGTCGTACTTTTTGGAACCGAAAATCGTGCATTCTTTATGCAAGTTACAATTCATAGATTAAATGGATATATATAGTACTTTTTGGAATCGAACTTATTTTTCAATTCAATTTTTACCTTTTTGTTCAAAATAATCTTTTCGAAGTGTCAGTGTATGAGGCAACCCATTTTTTATAAAAATGGATGTAGTACCTTTTGCAACCGAGCTCTTCATATATTCTTCCCATTCTTCAGACTCACTCCCGTTTCTCCTCACCTCTACAGTCCTTCTGTCTCTTTCACCCTCTGTCTTCTTTTAATCTCTCTTAGTGCTTACACTGTGTGTGCGTGCCTCTCACCCTTTTAATCTGTTATCAATGTTGTTCAATATGCTATGTGTAGTTTAACTTTAATTTCTATACATGTCATTGTCTATATATATATATATATATATACAGACCGTTTACTATCCACAAGGTCTAATAATCATTTTGTCTACTTATCATTTCGTCTTATGACCATTTAGGCTAATTGTCTTTTGGTCTAATGTCCATTTTGGTCTAATAATCATTCAATCAAACATCATAATCATCAACTAATTATTAGACTTTATGGATAGTAGACGAAATGGGCATTAGATGAAATGGGAATTAGATTAGACTAAACAAACAATAGACCAGATGGGTAGTAGACTTATTGAATATTAGACCAAATGGAAATCAGACCCATATTGCTCCGCTTAGTCTCATTTTACAACGCCCCCTATCGTCAGAGCATGATCAGAGTCAGCAGCCTAACACATATGGAAACGTTTGCTTGTATTTGTCTCATAAAAGAATTTGAGCACGAACTGACTTCCACACGGTGTTGAGTGCTCAGGGGTCACAGGCCACTGGCTTCATCGGGCAGGTAGTTCCATTATGTGAATGGGTAAATTAACTATTACAAAATGAGGGGACACATTACATTGTACACTAGGGACACACATTGTTTTTATTGTGCAGAACATACTCTTTTATTGACTTACTTATTGCATGAAACTATAAAACCAAAATGCATTTTGTATTCTAACAATTGGAGTACAAAGAATAATAACAGGTGAATGAAATGCATAAACACCACAAACACCTGGGGAGGAAGCATTCATAAATTTGAATAGATAATATGATAAACGACTCTGATGAAACTATAAAACCAAAATTAAATTTGCGTTCTGGCAATTGGAGTACAAAGAATGATAGCAGGTGAATGAAATGCTTCAACAGCAACACAAACACCTGGGAAGCTAGGAAGCATCCATAAATTTGAATAATTTAGTTCATAAACGACTCCGCATGTGGACGTTTGTTGGAGCAGAAAGCAGTGGATTCTTAACAACACGAACCCATTTAACAGAATGTCGGAACGTAAATTAAATTTGGCGCGGTTGGAAAATGCATCTTTCTGCCCTGCAACTTTAATGGTACGATCCAGTAAATTAAAACAATAAAATGGCTCTTTTTTAAAATTACTCATTAAATAAAACCCAAAACTTTAGTGATATCAGAAAAAATATGTTATATCTTACTAATAATTAAAAAAAGATGTATAAACATTATGAAAGTGTCGCATTTTACGATAAAAGACACCGATTTAGCAAAGATCACGTCATTAATGCGCTTGCATCAGGGAATTCAAGGTCAAAAGGTCAATTCAGACGCTGATGAGTTGTTGGTCGAGCATTTTTGTTTCCTTTATTCCGACAAAATTATACAATCAATCAAAATATGTTTGATACCAGAAGAAAGCTAACGATTAGTATTTTCATTAACCGCTTGCCCCAAAGTCTCTTGACCACAGTGAAACGAGTGAGAGCTTGCGAGAGCGGCCAAAGTGTGATTGAAACTCGCTATTTGCTCTTCTCCAACGCAAAAAGAGACGACATTGTGCTGGATAAATGTATTTTTTCCGACAAAAGTACAGAAAATTTGCATATGGTCTTTTTATATTATACTTTATGAAATGTTACCCGAGTGACATCCAGGCGCCCCAATGCTGGAAACAAACGCACATTTTAGAAAACTTCACTTTTTCATGGAAAAATGCTTATTTGTTCTATGCACGCAAGTCAGATTGAGCGGATGATACAACGTTTCCATATGGTTAGCCTATGGACGTTTTTTTTTAAATCGTTAAAAATTCATTTTTTGTTTAAACGAAAAGCACATCCACCCCGACGTACGTTATCACTAGCTCTTTAATTGGAGCCCTCATGTCTCATTGACTTTTGAAAGTTCACCCACCGTAATTTTTCAAAATAGGTTGCAAGCTCGTCATTGCCTATAATACACATGTGAAACAAGTCTAACTTTGGGCTCAGTTTGCCAGCGATTTGAAGATTATAGGTCGAGCACATGAAACATAAAAAGCATGAATTATCATAGATCACTTCTGCCTATTTCCTTATGTCCATTTCATCCAACCCCCCACCGTAATTTTTCAATTTAGTAAAAGCAAACATTTAGCCGAGGTAAGCAAAAACATGAATATTCATGACACACCATGGACTAAATAAACTTACCGTAGAAATATTTCTTTTAAAGTTAACAAATAAGGTCATGATATACAACACTCACTTTTCTGACATCTAGTGGACCTGGTAAATTCTGTTAGCTGAGCCAAAATACGGTTCGCTGCACTTATGAAGAAACAGACTCATCATATTATGCTAAGTGTTACTATAGTTTGTTTATTATTCTAGGTAGACCCTTTTTGTTATTTGTGGGTCTCCTGTAGTATAGATCATATAAAAAAAAATGGAACAAAGAAGTGGAAGATTCTAGGATAAAACAATGACATTATAGAAAATCTTTTACATACATGCATTATCCCACATAAAACTACAAGGGTCAAAACTGATTTCTACCTTTAGGTGAACCTGTTTCTTAAGCATTCTCTCCACCAGACTTGCTATTTGATTTGGCATATTGTCATCCTCCTTTTTAGCCTTGAGCGCCTCCACCTTATCCAAGACAAATCCTTCTGTAATAAATAGAAGAAATACATATATGTGTTTGTAGGATATATATACATTCATAATTAATCTACATCTGCCACTCTCTGCTCAGGTGTTAATATGTACCAGCATGGACCTTCTATAGCATGTCCCTAGTACCAGAAAGGATGTGGTTGGATTGGCATGTGTGCGTTTGTAAAATAGCACCTGGTCAAAATACTCCCCAGGGGAGTTGTGTGTGTGTGTGCTCTATCATTCTACCACCTAAATAAGGCCTTCAAATGTGAATACTTTTATTACATTTTAAGTGTCAAGTAACGCCTGGCTGGAATGCTCCCCATGGAGTGGAGATTGTGCACACAGTGTGTGCGGGCAAGCACTGAATCCAATGACCGGGGTAATAGTATATTTCTAAAACGCTTTGAGACATTTGTATTAAGCGCTATATAAAAGCTAAATATTATTATTATAATCATTATTATGAGAATATTTCATGTAACTGACATTTTTTTTAATCAGAAATGATTACAGTTTAAATCCATCACTGGATAATAACAACCTCTGTGTAATAACAATTTAAAAGGAGCTTTAACAAGTAAATACTATTTTTTTATCCACTTGAATTGATACTTAATATCTTATGGCAATGAATTAAGGATTAATCGAGGGTTAAGAAGAAAAAAATGGTATATTGAGCAGCATTCAAATTCGTTGAGCAAATTTCTGAGGTTATTAATTTTTTTTTCTTCTGGCAGAATTTAACATCTTCTTCATATTCATAACTCACTACTACATTTACTTTCATAGCGATTTTAATTTGAATTACTTTACATGATAGCCATTCCATTCTCTCTCACTGATTTTCCCTTAAATCAGATATACTATATCTGCATGTAGCTGATAATTACCTGTGTTGGGGTCATGGGCATCCTCTTTGTGTTTTGTATCCAGGCCTCTGCTGCGAGTATTATCGTTGTGTGGATCCAAACTTTCTTGATTCTGTACACAAAAAAAAAACAGTATTAAGATTGGCATCGAGTAGCTTGCACTAGCCGCATCACAATTAGCAACTAGAACTACTTTTGTAAGGGGCTGATGAGATGAATTCACTCTTTATTCGTTTACCTTGTCATTCTAGATTGGTCAAGAGCAATTAATTGTGTCGTTGCATGATTGACAATGTACTTGACATTCCAGATGAAAACAGCTAATGCATGTACTAGGGTTTATGACTAATTGAATGGCTAATACCGAGTTAAATGCAAACTAGTGTTACACTAACGAAATAATCAAAATACTTTATCATGAATGAAATGAATATGCAAAGGAAACAGCGACCTCAATATATTGTACATGCAGTGTTTGTAGTCTCAGATAGCCCATGTAATTATTCTTTGCTTACTACTCAGGTATATTGCTATCAAATTCATTTAGGGCAATTTCCGATATCATTTATTTGTTTGGCTGATCATCATGAATTTAAAACAAATCTTCTGGCTTAACTTGTCTTCTCCATCATAATCATCACTCACTACAGTACTATATTTACTTTTATGAAGATTGTCATTTGGATTAACAAGTACGATATCCATTTCATTCTCTCTTACTGGTTTTCCTCAAATCAGAAAAATAAATACATGTATGGAGATAATAATTACCTGTGATGGGGTCACGATCAGCCTCTTTGCTATGTCATCCGCAAGAGCTTTACTATATTCATCTTCTTTGAAATTAAATCATCATATATCATAATTTAAATTACATGTATATTATTTAAATGAACAATTTGATATGCAAACCTGCCTTTACAGCAAGTTAAACATTACCAGATAGCTAGAAGCGATGTGATGTCATGCAACTCCTTCAATTTTTTTAATATACTCCTTGACTACAATATAATTTTCTTCAAAACTTAAGGCTTAAAAGGATATGTTTTTGGTGACTTCTAACAAAATGCTATCCATAACTCTGAAGGGAGGAGAAGCTTGTGGAAAGAAATTGATTTAAAAAAAGTCTGATTGTACAGGAAGTGGGAAATTTGTTCCAAATACTTTGCAGTCAATCAATCAGTTCGACAATTGGACATTAACATACTCTCTTTAAAAAAAAGAGTGAATTTTCAAAATCACGGACGTTACTCCTCTGGAGAGTGAAAATGTAGTGAAAATAGAGTGAACATTCACTCTTTTCTTCTTAGAGAGCACTCTAAATCAATCGATTTTCACTCCTAAACAAGTGATCACGGACTTCACTCCCAAGAAAGTGAAAATAGAGTGAAAATGCACTCTTTTTTTAAAGAGAGTAGCAGTACAAAAACAGTTATATTGCCATGATATCATAAGGACAATTCAGTTTACTTCTTATATCTATATTACTACTGCAAGAACTATAACTTTTTTGATTGCTATTTCAGGAATCGTTTCAGACAGTAGTAGTGAAAATTATAATAACGATTATAATGATAATAACAATAATAATAGCAAACATAAAATTGTAATGATAATGAAACTAATAACAATAACAATAATGATGATGATAATGATTATAACAAATGACAATAATAATAAGAACAATACAACATAAGAAATTAACCACTATGTGCTCATAAATTGTAATATTAAGATATTAAAATTGAAAAGATACGCTTTAAGTTTTGATTTAAAAGTGTTTTCAGTCCTCCCTTGTCACCCACCAACAGTTTGATGTCAGAATGAAATATATACTTATGGAGAGAATGTCATTTTCTTATAGTAAATTCAAATTATTTTTTAAAGTTCTACTTACCTTTTGTATCTTCATTCCCATGTCCTTTTTTGTGAATTGACCACATTTTCTCGCCAGCCTTAGCAACCTCAATGCAAATTTCACATGCGTTTGTTGTTTCTACACCGTTCGTCATTGCCTCGTTTTGATCAAATCTGAAGTAAATAAAACAAAATGATAATATTAATAATAATAATAATGAAATTAATACAAATTGGAATAATAATTCGAATACAAAATTTAAAAGTTAATAACAATTATGTTAATGATATTGATATATACTCACTTATATTCCGAAGCACAAAAGTAAAACTGACACGCATAGTATTCAAAACGTTCAAGAAGCTAAATTCAGACATATCCGAGTACAATTAACAGAATCCGATAAATACATTATGAATTTTAAATGTTTCGAAGTTAAAATCACATAATCTATGTAAATCTCAAATTGTTGAATAATGTGAATTCAATTGTGACAACATGTGTGACGTAATTGGGGATTAACATGTCGTCTAATTAACCATTTTTTAATTGAATCGAATTTCATATTGGCAAATTAAAACTCATTTATTTTGTACCACAATGGTGAAGTTACCGTACACGACATCTGTTTGTCTAGTTTTTCCGATTTCCTTCAAAGTAACTTGCTATAAACTGATTTGTACCAAAATAATTTGTTTAACTGTTTAAGGGGTTAGGCTCGACTAGCACATGTGCTAGTATCTGGCCCCTTTTACCAACCAATAGTTTCTCTTCCTGTATTATGTAACTATTGTATAAAATGTATGTATGAAATGTATTGCTGTTGGTAAATAAATCAAATCAAAATCAAATAAAGATCAGATAGCCCCTTAAAATACACATGTAAATCATTTAGATCTTTTTGTTTACTTCGTATACACTCTAGAAGTTTTATTTTTAAAGTAAATCTTTATTTCCTTCAAAACAAAAACAAAAACACATTGTGACGTCTTTACAACATAAACTGATGTCCTCCAATAAACAAACATAACATTTGACATACATGTAGATATTTATCATCAAGTCCAATTGTTGGATAAAAGATTACAAATATTTCAAATGTTTGAAATGTTTACAAGTTCTTATTCTTTATTTTCTCGGTTTTGTCTTGTTAAAAAAATATATTGCTACATGTGTTAACGATTTTTAATAATTTCAATTTTTTTCAATAATAGAAAGAAGCGGGACAAATTTTTACATTTTGATTCCAACAGTTAATTATTGTGCACAGTGTTGTGATGAGTCATCTCACTTCTGCCTTAGGTGATCAACATGTTATATGAGTATACACATCGCAGCACGTTTATAAACATTGTAGACATAGTGGTATACACATAATAGTCATCACATTATTGTAGACATAATTTGCACATTCACAAATTTGATCACAAACGACCGAAGTGTATAATACATGTACATTTTCCTGATTAAAAAAGATTATATAACCAACAAAGAAAAAATAAGAGATAAATTCGATTAAAAAAAGGAAAACTTATCACAAAGGGAATTATTTTCCTTATCAAGAAGTCAGAATAAACAAGATCAAAATCATCTTGCTATGACCCTTTATTATGTTGGACAAAGATTTCATGTATCCAAACAGAACATTTTAAGTCAACATGACTGGTAATAAAGTTGTTTATTTTTGTTGTCAAGTGAATGAAAAAACATAATACAGAGACAGATAATCAAGGAACATTAAAGAGAGAGAGAGAGAGAGAGAGAGATAGAGGTTTTAAAGAGATAAAGGGGGTAATCAAGAGATTACCTTTGTCCTGTAAGAGTTTTCTTTAGACTTGTCTTTCCAACACGTTCTTGTCCAACAAGCATCAGGCGAGTTCGAAAAACTTTCTTCGTGCCAGCTTGAGCTGCTTCGGCATACGCTCGCCGTGCTCTCAGCCCCCGAGCGAGAATCTCGGGGGGTGCCGAAAGACCACCGAAGGAAATATCATCCTGATTGGTCCCCGGGTCATGTGTGAGAGATGTCACTTGGTCATCCTTTCCCTCATTATTATCAGTATCATCTGTAATAATGAAGATCAATAATAACAAAACAAATACGTCAGGATAAAGACACAAATTTGGCGTGCCACAGGAAGCAAAACTATTCTTAACTATAACAAAAACATGATAAAAGCAAGAACAACACCACAAACAAATTTAAGCTAACAGAAACAGAACAAAACATATACACAAACCTGCTTCTTTAGCATTCAGACCGCTACCGAGAGTAGTATCGCTGTGTGGTTCCAAACTTTCTTGGTCCTATGCATAAAATAAACCAGTATTAATATTGTCATCGAGAAGCTTGCACTAGCCGCATCACAATTAGCAACTAGAACTACATTTGTCAGGGGCTGATGAGATTAATTCACTTTTTTCTGTTTACACTATCATTCTAGACTGGTCTAGAGCAATATATTGTGTCGTTGCATGATTGACTATGTACTTGACATTCCAGATGCAAAAAGCTAATGCATGTACTAGGGTTTATGACTAATTGAATGGCTAATACCGAGTTAAATGCAAACTAGTGTTACACTAATGAAATAATCAAAATACATAATCATGAATGAAATGCATATGCAAAGGAAACAGCGACCTCAATATATTGTACATGCAGTGTTTGTAGTCTCAGATAGCCCATATGATTATTCTTTGCTAACTACTCAAGTATATTGCTTTCAAATTCATTGAGCGCAATTTCTGATAGCATTTATTTGTTTGGCTGATCATCATGAACTTAAAACAAATCTTCTGGCTTAACTTGTCTTCTCCATCATAATCATCACTCACTACTATATTTACTTTTATGAAGATTGTCATTTGGATTAACAAGTACGATATCCATTTCATTCTCTCTTACTGGTTTTCCTCAAATCAGAAAAATAAATACATGTATGGATATAATAATTACCTGTGGTGGGGTCACCCTCTTTGCTTCTTCATCCGCAAGAGCTTTACTATATTCATCCTCTGTGAAAGTAAATCATCATATATCATAGTAGACTATCGCATCATATATTACATTGCAATATACGAGTTTATGACTCTCTATAAAAAATTACCCTTATAGGACAATTACCCCCTAGGACAACCAACGACCACCACTCCGAGGAAACCCCCCTTCCTGTTCATTAAAGGGGAAGTCTATCCTGATTTAGTTGGGTTTTTTAAGTATAATTTTTTTTCGGAGGGTACTTGTCCACGGTGGGGAGGGGGGGGGGGGGGGGGAAGCTGCACCCTATAAAGTGCAAAAGTGCACCTCATGGGTGCAGACATTTGCTACAATAGCAGCACCCCATAGTTGATTATAATATTTATGTATAAATTAAACATGCTAAGATGTGCAAATTAGAAGATATATATTCAAATCAACTCTAAAATAAAATAACAATGACTTAGTATTACATATTCACAACGAAAGTTCCAATCACATGTGAGAGTGTACAACATTAATGTTCAATAGCTAAGACGGATAGTATGCAAATACCTGTGAGGTGAAGCCTAGTAAGAAGGTATTCTATAACAAAGTGAAGGATCAACTTGGGAATGTAAAGCATGAAGGAGAAATGATGATAACAAAAGCAAGAGGGAGCAATGTTAGTGAGTGTAATTCTGAGAGGCTATGGTACAGTGAACACAGGCTTGGAGAAAATTAAACATTTAGTAAAAAACATTAACCCTGATCACTGGATGTAAACAGAATCTAATAGTGTACAAAATAGTTCACCACATTATTATTATTATTATTATTATATTGAGTATGTTGTCCTTGTTGTTATTAATATTATAATCATTATCATCATCATTTTGTATTATCACACCACTTCCCCCTTCTATCTCTCTCTCTCTCTCACCTTCTCCTCCAAGCCACCTTTCCCCGTGTGGAAAAATTATTTGCAGCTGATTATTTTAAGGCAACACTATTCCACCCTAGAAACGCGGTTTTCAAAGACGTTTAGTTTAAAACACGGTTGCGTTTTAGCGATTTCAAGCGGTTTTCCGTCTGTCGTAAAAATAAACGTGTTTCAAACACAAACATGAAACGCTGAAAAAAAAGCGTTTTGTATCCTGATTCTGCAGAATCAGGGCCTACATGCCTACATTTTAAAAAATTTCTTTGAACGCAACGGAGAGTTCAATCATGGTTCTATCGCTCTATATCTATTCTTCCTGGATGGGCTTGAAATGAGCAAGAATCAGCGTTGATGGGAAATCGTTTGAACCATCTCCCGCAGTAACCGTGTTTTGAAACGGCGTTTTGATTTGTGATTCATGTTTGTGATTCTAGCTTTAAAAAATCACTTGAACGCACCCTTAAACTAATCAGCCTTAGATACAATTCACACACAGACATTTTCGGTGCGGTCGTTCGAGATTCACTGTATTCTTTGGTCTTCAGCAGAAAAGAAAGAGGACAAGTTCATTATCATCAATCTTGCACCAAAATAGTCAACAAGACAAAGTTCTATCACAAAAGCGCAGATACTCTGTAGAAATAGTAATTAATTCAGTTTACCATCTCAATAGAAGAATACCTCTGATTCTAGCTTCAAAAATCACTTGAACGCACCCTTAAACTAATCAGCCTTAGATATAATTCACACACATACATTTTTGATGCGGTCGTTCGAGATTGATATAACCTTGTCATTGGCAAAGCTTAGTCTTTACAAAGAGACTATTATTTACCACATTTTTCACATTCATTTAAACTGTTTGGTGAGATAATGAAAAAAAGAGTGTAAAAACATACAATTTAAATAACAAAATAATCTTCTTGGTGTCAAGTACAACATTTTTAGGAGTAATTGTAGATACAAAAAAATAGTAATCTTGGAACCACTATATAAATCATCTTTGTAACACTTTATCTAGAAATATTAGTGTTTTATTCAGATTGAATTTCTTACTTCAAACTGTTTTGAAAGTGTTATATCATGCCCTCATTTCTTTCAATTTAAATTATTTCAATATTGTTTGGGGTTTCACTTCTGAAAGAAATATTGAACGAATTTATAAATTACAGAAACGTGCGATTTGCCTTATTACACACTCTTTAAAAAAAAATCTATCTCACACTCTACCATTATTTTAAAAAAAAATGCAAATCCTACCTATCCATGATAAATTAACCTTAAATACTACAATTTGCATGTTGCACCTGTCTAATAGACTTTTTTCTAAGATGTATGATGAATATTTTACTTTGAATTGTTCCATTAATAATTACAATACTAGAAATGCTCAAAATATCCAACTCCCTTTAAACCGCATATCAAGTACTTAGAATTCATTTTTTTTACAATGGACCAATTATTTGGGATAACCTGCCAATTAGTCTAAAAAATAGTAAGACCGTAAACAGTTCAAACGATTAGTTAAACAACACCTACTGAATCATAAATGATAATATTTTGTTGATGTTTCCTTATCTTTTTTAAAATCTAAATTGTGATGGTTTCGTTATGTTTTTGTTAAGTGTTTCCTGTGATATTTTTTTGATATTTTCTTACAATGTATAATATGTTATGTATATACTTGTTATTTGTTAAGGGGTCATTTTCAACAAGCCAAGTGAGTGTTTTTATTATACCGCCACTGTTTCAGTGATCGATATGAATTCTTTTTATTAAGTCGATCAAGTAGATTGATTATATTTATGTTTAGCGCCATCTAGAGGCTACTAAATTCGTGTGAAGAAATGGCACCCTGTTTGATATCCAGTGGATAAAATCTGTTGATATTGGAGGCATCCTTGTGTAATATGGATGTTAGATGCACTTAAGAAGGCAGAATGAAGGTATGTAATGATGATATTTGATGAACGTTGTATATAAATGCTGTAATGATGCGATATTCTATGATTAAGTACCTTTCATTCGCACCTAACTCGCTGTGTACATTACATGGATGTAACTTACATTGAACAGTAGCCGAGACGGTCGACTCACATACCAAATGTTATTGTTATGTAATGTACACTACGACATGCGATTGAAAGGTACACGTATGCAAGAATGTAAACAAAGATTCGCCTAGTTTGAGTTAATGTACAAAGATGAGTACTTGGGGTCCATAATATGAGAAAGTTGTCATATGATTTATACAAGTTTATATTGATAATTAATAGATGGTTTAGTTAAAAAGATACATGCTGTAATTATGAACAGAAGTGATACAAAGGATGTATGTCAGAAGTCTGACTTAGTTCAATTAAGCATACATGTACTGGTAGTAACAAACAGTTAGAATTGTATTTAGTTTATATGCAGTACAAGTTAATGTGTGAGATCAGGAAAAGAGCTAAAACAAAGGTTAAAACAAGGGGTTAATTAGCTGTAAGGTGCCTATTATTGATAAGAGTCACCAGGTTTTCTCTAAGCATATGTATATTCATGAACAATTGATTTATGATCCGTTTAATCTATTTTCATTTGTGCAGTTTTTACGGAGCATTTGGAGCAACGAGAGTATTGTAACAATAAAGAAACGACCAATAAACAAAGTCAAAGATGCTTCCGCTACAGCCACTATCATTCATATGTATATATTTGTGATTTGTAAATGTTTTTAAAGTGGAAATAAATTGAATTCTGAATTTGAATTTGTTTAATCAAAATTGGTTCAGAGACGGCTGAAATATCTATAAATATAACAATTTCTAATATTTGTGGGGCACCTAAAATATTCGATAATTTTAAATCAGTCGTTGAAAAAGCGAGATAGCGCCCTTTACGTTCTATCCGTTTTTTTACATGAAGTAGCTACCCATGATCACTGTTAAACATATTAATCATATCGAAAATAATATCGCTAGTGATATTCGTTTGTCTCGCAATGTGGTCAATAAGGAATCTAAAAGTTCACGACGTTTCGTACGCATCTGCAATACTTCGTCTGGTGATAATAACTACTGTAAGCAAGGGTCTTTTATACTCTACGGGAGGACCGGCGGAGCGGTACATAATTCGATCGATAATTGGAACAATAACGCACAATGCCCATAGGTCGACGCACACGGTGATCGACCAATCACCAGGCCGCTGGATTCGGCCGCTGGTTCGGCTAATGCACCAGGCCTATTGGCCGAGGCATACAGTACTCGACCAATCAACGAGCCGCTGGCTCGGACCGTCTGCTGAATGGAATCGACCGGTGTTGGCTGGCAGGACGGCGAGTGTCATGGCGGCGTATAGATTCGTCCGCATCCAAATTTCGGGGATATCGATCCCGTTGTCTCTGTTGAAATTATTAGGATTGAGACGGATATTGATAGCTTCTTTTACCCTCCGTGTATACCAATGCCGTTCCTGGGAAAGGCACTGGACCCCGTCCCAGTCTGGTTGATGCTGGTTATCCCAAGCATGTTCGGCTACGGCTGAGTTGTCAGTTCGACGGAGTCTGACGTCCCTCTTATATGCTCAGTGATTCTTTTTTTTTATCGGACGGGCAGTTTCACCGATGTAGGATCTACCACATCCTTTACGAGGGATGTTGTAAAGGATGTTGGCTCGGCCAACCTATCTTCTAGAACGATCACTTCTTCGGAAGAAGAGATTCTTAAGAAAGGCCTCGGCTTCGCCGTCTCCCCTAGACGGATTCCAGCTACCGAAATAATTGCGAAAGTTGAGACAGCGGTCAAGTATCTTGATGCGGAGTCGGCCGCCCGCAGAGATGTAGACAACATCCTACAAAAAGCACGCTCCCCTAAACACAACATTTCGAAAGAAATGCACACCGCTCTCAAAACTTTGAAGGCTGATGATAGTATTACTATTCTTCCAGCCGACAAAGGTCGTGCCACAATCATTCTAGACACCCCAATATACCATGAGAAATTGACCGACTTATTGGAGTCTGGTCCGTATCGTGTATTAAAGAAAGATCCCACAGATCGCTTGGCTCGCAAGCTTACCAACACCTTGCTGAACCTAAAGAAAAACAATGTGATGCATGAACCGACCTATCGTAGACTGAAACCCACACAAAAGCAACCTCCTAGAATATACGGGTTACCCAAGATACACAAACCCACAGTACCATTACGACCTATAGTTTCATGCATAGGCTCCTTTGCCTATAACCTCTCAAAGTACCTAGCTGAAATTCTTTCTCCGCTCACCGGTTTGACTGAATATACGATTCCCAATTCGAGTGGTTTTGCAGAGTTCATAGCAGAGCAAACCATCGGTACTCAAGAACGCATGGTTTCGTTTGACGTAGTTTCACTTTTCACCAATGTACCGATTGAGGGCGCATGCAATGCTACATTGCAACGCTTACAATCAGACAGCAATTTATCTACCCGTACCGCACTCTCACCGGAACAACTCACTCAACTCCTCGAGTTTGTTCTACGATCCACATATTTTCTGTATAAAGGTTCATACTATGAACAGACAGAAGGGGCAGCCATGGGCAGTCCAGTCTCGGCTGTCGTGGCCAACCTATACATGGAGAGTTTCGAAGAAGAAGCGTTGGACACATGTCCCCTCGCTTGCTTGCCTCGTGTTTGGAAGAGATACGTAGATGACACCTTCATCATAGTTCCCATCTCTGAAAAAGATAAGCTGCTTAAACACATGAATAGCCTTGAACCAACCATCCAGTTCACATCAGAGATAGAGTGTGAAGGGAAGATAGCATTCTTAGACACTCTAGTTCATAGACACGACAACCATAGGCTCTCCACCTCAGTCTATAGGAAGCCTACCCACACAAACCAGTACATAGCGTTTGACTCTCACCATCCCATATCGGTGAAGAGAGGTCTAGTGAAATGTCTATTTCACAGAGCTTCACGCATTGTGACAAGTCCACAACAGCCATGCAAAGAACGGACCCGTGTTCGCAGTGCCCTGAGTCTCAACGGTTACCCACGCCGTTTTATACACAATACCAAGAATAGATCGTCGGAACCCAGGTATCAGAAGGTATACAAGACTTTTACAGTCTTGCCGTACATTGATGGGGTCTCCCAACAAGCGCCGCCTAGAGAGCCATGGCATTCGAACGGTTTTCAGATCAGATACCACCCTACGTCAACAACTTACACGCCCCAAGGATCCAATTCCTCCACATAGACGGGACGGCATTGTGTACAACATCCCTTGTAAAGGATGTGATAGATCCTACATCGGTGAAACTGCCCGTCCGATAAAAGAAAGAATCACTGAGCATAAGAGGGACGTCAGACTCCGTCGAACTGACAACTCAGCCGTAGCCGAACATTTCAACAGAGACAACGGGATCGATATCCCCGAATTTTGGATGCGGACGATACGCCGCCATGACACTCGCCGTCCTGCCAGCCAACACCTGTCGATTCCATTCAGCAGACGATCCGAGCCAGCGGCTCGTTGATTGGTCGAGTACCGTATGCGTCGGCCAATAGGCCTGGTGCATTAGCCGAACCAGCGGCCGAATCCAGCGGCCTGGTGATTGGTCGATCACCGTGTGCGTCGACCAATAGGCATTGTGCGTTATTGTTCCAATTATCGATCGAATTATGGACCGCTCCGCCGGTCCTCCTGTAGAGTATTAAAGACCCTTGCTTACAGTAGTTTTTCACAGGCTCTCTCAATCCGGTCAACTTTTCGGGAAAAATTTCATATCTTCACTGGAAAATTATACTTTTCTTCTGGAAGTTGGTTTCATTGCATATATGTTCAGGATATTGGATCCATAAGCGTGGTGAATTGGATTATACAGAATAAGGTAGGCAAACAAAATCTGGGCTTTCTATACGCACCCTCTAACACACACGCACGGCGGGATTTGATTTTCCCGCCTCCCCCTAACACCCAATCATGTCGACTTCCGCTCCGGAGGTCGACAGTTTCAACCTGGACGAGGAGTTTCGGACAGTCACGTATGGCAAGAAACGCCAAAATAAACGAAAACGTGAAGGAAGTCTGACTGTAAAATCTATCTCCCTCAGAACGGACTCCTCGACCAGTTCAGATTCAGACACCTGACTACAAAACCCCCTCCTCTAACCGCACCACTTCCATCCATACTAGCACCCAACTGTTGAAAACCCTGATAGTCCCAATAGATAAGACCAAATCCTTAAAGAACGTAACCCCTAAAGCAATAGCTACATCAATCAAAGAATGTGTGGGCCAATCACCCATGATTGAGTTTATCAAACACACGTACTCCGGAATTCTTGTTCAGTGCAAGACCCCAAAACAACATCGAAACCTTAACCAAATCCAATCAATCGGTAAAATTCCAGTTAAAGTACAAGAGAAGATCGTGGGTGTAAAAGGAGTCATTTCAGGGATCCCGGTAGACATGACAGAGAAAGAGATAGAACAAGAGCTGAAATGCCAAAAAGTAATAGCAGTTAAAAGAATCATGAAGAAAAGAAAAGAAAACAAAGGAAATGAAAACGAAACAAATCTGCAGCCAGAGTACTTTCCGACAAGAAGTGTCATTTTGACTTTTAACTCAGAACTTCCAGAAAAGGTTTTCTATGTTTTTTCAGACATTCAGAGTCTCGTTATATATCCCACTCGTTCCCAGGTGTTACAGATGCCAAATGTTTGGTCATGGCATTGCTCATTGTAGATCGAAGTTGAGATGCGTCCGCTGTGGAGATCCCCACACTTTCGAACAATGCCAAAGAAAAGAAAATCCAAAATGTGTAAATTGTGGAGAAGCCCACTCCGCTGCCTATAATGGCTGCAAAGAAGCTAAAAAGGCAAAACAGGTCCAGCAATTCAAATGCGAAAACAAACTAACTTACGCACAAGCCTCGAAGGCATGGAACGAAAAACAACGTCATGATCAAAATTCCAACCCTATCCCAGAACCCATTCAAAAGAGCGCTCAACAACAGAGTGCACATCAACCCCAAACAAACAAAGAGTCTCCCCCCAATTACGAACCCCTACCAAAGTTTCAAGTGCTCCACATTATGAACAACCATCCAAAGTTCCCTCTTCCTTATACTCCCAAGATCAAAATCAATCAAACAGAAATACAAAACTCGCGGGGAACGCAAATTTAACAAATACTTATGTCAGAAATGGAAACGCCTCAACATCAGAACGAAATGAACAAATATTGCACTCTATTGTACAATTGATAATGATTTTTGAAAAAGATAAAAGAGAAGTTGATATTATTGAGCTGGTTAAAGTAGCAGCGGAAAGACTACTTTACAAAAGATTGCATCACGAGCAGTATGATGGGTGCAGTTAGTTATTTAACAACAATAGCTGTGCTTTCCATTCTCCAATGGAACGCACAAGGCATGTCCGCACATGGACATGAGCTCTTAAAATTTGTAGACTGTAATAATAGAACAAATAAAATAATTCATTTAATCTGTATCCAAGAGACTTGGTTCAATGACACTAGGAACTTAACCCTTCCAGGCTATACTTGTATCCCCCCAAACAGAAAATCCCAATATCGAGGTGGATGTGCTTTTTATGTTCATGACTCTATCCAATACAGTCACTCCTCTAGAGATGAGACAGATTTAGAATTACAATCCATAGAATTATACGTAGCTGATTCTATTTATCGAGTTGTGAATTTGTATAACCCATGCAAACAACTAAACCAAATTATCATGCAAGAACTTCAAAAAAGCATCCAAGAATACGATAAATATATCATCGTAGGAGACTTTAACTCACACAATACTTTATGGGGGAGTGAAAAAACGGACCCCAATGGCAAGATCATTGAAAACTTCATAAACGAAAAAAATATGGTTTTATTAAATGATGGGTCCGGAACAAAAATGGATCCGAAGAACGCAAAAGTATCAGTTTTAGATCTATCTATTACGTCCTCCCTCTTATCTGGCAAATGCGAGTGGCGCGCTTTACAAAACAAATTTGGAAGCGATCATTACCCAATCTCTATTCATATCATACTAGATAAAAAGCACAACGATAATAAACAAGACGAAATGGAAGATATCAGATGGTCCTTTCGGAACATGAACTGGACACTTTTCTCGGTAGAGTGTGAAAAAATGTTTCATCGGGAAAACGAAAAAAATGTAAGTGAAGACCCAACAGAGTTATATCTACACTTTATCAGTACGATCACCGAGGTTATTCAGAAAACCTATCCAAAAAAAGGTAAACGACAACGAAAACCCATCCCTTGGTGGAATAAGGAGTGCTCAGATAAAATAAAGGAGAGAAATAGAGCTAAAAAGAAACTAAATAGAACAATATCGATTGAGAATTTAAACGACTTTTTGAAGAAGAAGGCAGAGACGCAGAAATTCCTTCGTCAATGTGAACAACTATACTGGAACAACTTCTGCCAGAAACTTAATCGATTTGTCCCGGAATCTAACATCTGGAAATGCATTAAAAGATTGAATGGCATACAAACCAAAACAAAAAGAATTCCAGTACTGAAAGACAAAGAAAGGATTATGCAGTCGGACCAAGACAAAGCGGAGTTACTTGGAGGTTTCTTTCATACAATTTTTACTACAGAAGCGCCAAAATCAACAGAAAAAACCCGAAGTTGGCAGCCGAATCAGGAAATAATGGATAATACATTAAAGGAAAGTAAAGTACATACTCTGAATGGGGCATTCGGACTAGCAGAATTCAATAGAGCCATCGAAAAGAAAAAAAATTCTGCTCCTGGAAAAGACAGAATACCGTATTCAGTTTACCAAAACGTGCCCCTTGTGGCGAGAGAGTACGTACTACATTTCATTAATTTAATCTGGGAATCCAACCAAATCCCACCCCAACTTAAACACGCGATAATGGTCCCAGTCCTAAAACAGAACGGAAACGATGATTAAAACAAGACTTGATTGGTTTTTAGAGAAGCATGAGATATTACCTACTTTTATGAGTGGGTTCAGAAGAGGCCGTAGTATAACAGACAATATAGTAAATCTTGAAAACGATGTCCAGAAGAGTATAAATAATAAAGAGCATACTTTAGCCGTTTTCTTAGACATAAATAAGGCATATGATACAGTATGGATAGAAGGCCTAATTCACAAACTAGGAAATATAGGTATTCAAGGAAACATGCTTAGATTTCTTCACAACTTTTTAAAAGACCGCACTTATCAGGTACGCGTTGGTAGACAACTATCGCACGAGTTCAAGATGGAGAGAGGTCTCCCGCAAGGTAGCATACTGAGTCCCACACTCTTTAACATAATGCTCAACGATATCCCAACAGACCCTTCGATAAAAATATCCTTGTATGCCGATGATTGCGCGATATGGATCTCACGCAGCAATATTCCTTTCATTACCAAAAAAATACAAAATTATATTGATGACCTACATAGCTGGTTTACGTCCTGGGGTCTCCAACTGTCCCTAAAAAAGACTGTTCCCCTACTTTTCACCAAAAGTACCAAAAACCATGAGATAAACCTCACTTTAAACAAAATACCACTAAAATGTGAAAATACACACCGATTCCTAGGTATATTATTTGACAAAAAACTTACCTGGACCCAACATATAGAGTATATATCCACCAGATGCAAGAGAAAGTTAAATATTTTAAGATGTTTAACTGGTACGTCATGGGGCAGTTCATCTAAGTCCTTAATAATGGTTTATAGAGCTTATATTCGCCCCCTTTTGGACTTCGGGTGTGAAGCCTACGACAGTGCATCGGAAAACGTAAAGAAGGTGTTAGATTCGATTCAATACCAATCCTTAAGGATATGTGCAGGTGCCCTACCGGTAACTTCACTAGCGTCTCTCCAAGTAGAAATGGGAGAAGCCCCATTAGATCTTAGGAGACAACAACTAGCCCTAAAATATAAGCACAGCATAGAACAGCAACCTAAGCATCCAGTTTTTCCAAGTTTACAACCTTGTTGGCAGTATCAGTATATGAAAGGAAAACAGTGCAACAAACCGTTTGGTTATCGAACAGAAAACTCTAACAAACACCTTTCTGTAGAAAAATTAAAACCCCTAAACTTCCCCCCATGGTTACTAACGGAGCCTGTTATATCAATTGAATTGGCTAGTCAGATAAACAAATCTGATAATCCACTACTTTTGCAACAGAGAAGTTTAGAAATAATAAACACAAAATGGTTCAACCAACTTCA